CCATTGTAAACTATCATAGTTTTCATTTAAAATAATTCATCAAATTTTATTGATTAATTAGCCACTGTCATTCATCTTAAGTTTATAAAGTTTGATCTTAAAGTTAGCTCTATCATTTTAAGTTAGCCCACCATTTTGTTTTTAGATAGTGTTGTGAAGATCTTTATATGTTGTGTGAATTTTGACAAATAAATATAATTTATGTATTTCATGTATATTTCTATGTTACCTATAATGTTGTTTTTGACATTTTTTATACATACACGTTTCTAAAAGTAAACCCACGAGTAAACTACGAGAGACTGCGCTTTTTCTCTTAACAAATAATGATTCATCCAATGTTACGAAAACTATATTTAGATTATTATTTTTATACTTATCCTTTGCAATAAGAATGTTGATGTGAAATATCAGTAGGTGGAAAATTTATATACGCTAACGTTAACATTTTACAGTCCATTATAGAGCTCCTCCATAAACCCATTTCATCCAGAACTATTTTCAGCTTTAAAATATTTGCCACAGCCAAACAATATCTGAAGCTGGTGATAGTATTTCTTTTAAATAAATTTCAAACCCTCATTTTCTCACTAACAATAAATTTGCTGTTATATTTACCAAAAGTTTGAATGTTTTTATTTTTTTTTTATTTGTTTATTTAGCTTCTACCCCTAAGGGTCATTGGCTTAATGTTTCCATTTTATATTCGTTGATAAAAGTGAATATTCTTTAAATATTTGAACAGTTTTTCTATTTCATTCTCCCCATCTTGCAGAATTGTATTTATTTCAGTTCCCATTTGAAATGTTTTCCTTATATTAGGGTACCTTCTACATTCTAATAGTATATGTTCTGTTCTGGGTACTAGGCAATGTGTGCAAGTTGGAGCTTCTAACCCTCGCAGGAGGTATCCATGGGAAAACCCACAGTGACCAATTCTTAGGCGACATAGTATCACTTCTTCTCGTCTAGACTTTCTATTTGATGTGTTCCATTTGATACATTTTGTTTTTATTTCCTGAAGTTTTGCCGAATTCATTTCCCATTCAGTGTTCCATTTATTTTGAAAGGAGCAGGCAAGTTGGTGTGTCAAATCTTCTCGAGTTTGAATTTATATTATTTTAATGTAATATTTTCCATACCATTAGACATTTTTCACCTCAATGATTCTACAATTGTGAAAATATATACCTACAAGTATTATTTCTCAAACTATAAATAAATATATATATATATATATATATATATATATATATATATATATATATATATATATATATATATATATATTAGCTCACTCATTGTTGTTAAAAAAAAATAAGTATATTTTCTATAAAAGCTATAATAAATTTAGTGAGTGAAAAAATTTAATACAAACTAGTTTCAACTGTGTTAACAAGGAAAACAGATACTTAGCTGAAAATTTTAAAAACATCCCATTTTGATACCTCGATAGTTCGCGTCCCGTTAAGCATACAGTAAATGTTTCCTTCATAAATATTAGAAATTTTTAAGCTGTTTAAAATTGAATATAATAATTTTTAGCTATATTGCTTTAGTATTGAGATATTTAGCTTAAATTAAAAAAAGTCCGATATTTCTATGTTTTTTTGGGGCACTGCGGCAAATCCAGAGTTGACCGGAAGACTTCCTCATGTCGAAAACATGGATTTTTCACATTCACTATACACTTAACAATATGAAAAAAAAATTGAGTTACCCGATCTTTTGCAAGGTAGACCCCACTTTTTTTGTTAATTTGTCTGGACTATTTTATGAAGGAAGCTTTCTTTTCTAGGACTCTATCCGAACCGAAAATCCTGTATCTAAGCTACTCGAATCGGTAGCATTCCGTTATATATTGAAAGACGTTTTCTGATGCTTGTCAGTATAGATGGAAGAGTTCATCAACTATTCCGCAATTCAGTAAACGTCTTTAAGTCTGCAGTGGCTTGTTAGTATCCAGTAATTAATCGGATTTCCTTTCGATTTAGGCCTAGCAGACACTTAGTTATTGGAGAAAAGAGGTTTTTACAAGAGGCCTAAGGCACACAATTATTTCAGAAACAAAATCGAACAAGGAATAAAAAATCTTACTGAAGAAATCTATTGAAGATAAATGAAGTTTTCTTGACTGAAAAATTTGGAATATTCTATTTTGTTTTTCAATCCGTCAAGCTTATTGAAAAAATAGTCAGTTGGAGACAAGTTAGGTGAATGTGAATATTTATTTTTATTACATCACATTGAATATTTATTACGATCAGGTAAAGTAGATGACTTAGTTACTTAAATTTACCGCTGGCAATGAGAAGAGATATTAAGATGATATAATAACCACAAGGTGGACATTTTATACATGGTAGCGTTACACAATTTTGACACTAGTGATCTCCTTACAGCCATTACGTCCAGGAACATTAGCAGTTAGAAAGTTGAAGTCTTACCACATCTACCATAACCAACCGACTTACCTCCAACTGACTATCATTTTGTCAGATACCGCATCCTAACCATAACATCACATTATTCTTTCTTTATTGGTTCACGTTCCTTTTCCAACAGGACCTGATCTTCATAATATTCTTCTTTATTTTAGGAGGAAATGATTAAAAAATATATATATTTTTTCAAGATAATCCTTATAATTAGAATGTTTACAGTGTATTTAATATTAAATTAAAGTAATATTTTATTTTTGATCATTTCTTTTTTTAAATGTCCTTGGTTTATCCTACAATACTGCGGATTCGTGATCATTAATTAAATTTAAGTTGTTTTTATTTATCCAATTACATTATCAAGAGGCAATTGAATGCGTGAGATTGGGGTTTCACATAATATCCAACGGTAACCTTAAAACCAACGTGTCATTTGTTTTATTTTTATGGTAATTCCTTACACAGTTGTGATTCATCCGAAATTGGTACAAGATATGACTATATTTAAAATTAAAAAACTTTTTGGGGTAAGAACTCAATACAGTGGGAGAAATTATCAATTTACGAGGACAAAACTCTAAAATATAATTTATCGTTTTATATATATATATATTGTTAAAATATTTTTTTATAATTCGACTTTTATATAGTACAACTCTAAGTATCAATTATAAATTTCATGACCTATTATCCGACTATAATTGATACTTCATATATATATATATGTATATAATTTATTGAATCCCCATTAATAATTTACTGACCTCCTTACGATCCATAAATCACTTGTATATTCAAAATGTATCAGTTTGATGTTTGTTGCGTAATCACAAAAACATTATGAAAATAATATTATCATTTATGAAAAACAGTTGATAAAATGTAAAAGTTCACTCATTTTATTGTTTTTCGAGATTGTAAGTAAAAAATTAATCATAGTTCACGTCTTCCATACTAATGATAAACACGTTTTGTGTACCCCAAAATGAAATAAAGGTATGGAAAATTGATACTATATAGTTTTTTCCTTGAGTGAGAGATAAAATCAAGTGTTTACAAACCAGCCGTTAATCTAATTTGAAAGATCCTAGCTAATATATTAAATAATTAATTAATCTGGGCCAACCACCTACTAAAAATATAACAGAAGATAATTCAAGGACTGTTGTTGATACTGTCCAAGAAATATTATATTTACTAATTTATAAAATATTTTAAATTAATAACAATCATTTTAGTTTGTGAATATTATTCTTACTTTTACTTATGTATTTGTTTTTAGTTGCTTAAAAATTGTATCACATTAACGATTTGGAGCTCATCCCCACCATCAGGTTCAATGAAATAGTGCCAAAGTATCAAGGAAAAACTCATGATATATAAATGTTTAACAAATTATATAAAAAAAGGACGAAATTACACGTTATAGATATATAATGACAATGTTACAAGCAAGATAAATATTCTTTTTATTGTTGTTCATTTGCCTATTGGTTATCTATAAATTATACCTTCTCCTCACCAACATACAATTCAACCTTGAAAACGGGTTAGTCACAAAATTACAATTCAACAGGATTGGTCAATGGTACTTAGATAGAGAGATAGATAGAGAAATAACTTTATTCTGGGACAAAGTCCCTTAAGAATAACAAAATTTTACAGAGCAGAGGAATACTTCTGGCCTAGAGAACTACATTAAATAAATAAAATGTCTTATGTAAACTAAAAAATATACAAAACAAGCTGATGAAACTATATACAAAATGTCTAGAACTATATACAATACAAATAATAAATAAAACAAAATAATCACTGTTTAAAGAAAAACATAACAAAAATAAATAAAACAGATAGCAACAAAAGCAGAAATTAAATATTAATTCCTCTAGTAAATGAGTACCAAGTAAGAATAACTAAGTGAAGTAAAATGTAAAGAAATACAGATTAATTTATTCTATTTTGATAAGAATTAAAACGTTTATCGCAAAATATTAGGAAAATAAATAAGTTAGACAACTTTAAGAGTACAGTAATCTTATAGAACAGCAATGACACGGTATAATATATATATATATAAGTATAAACATACACAAGTCAATGAAAATTAATAATAAAAAAAAAAATATATACATAAAGCATTGGTTTTTAAAACCAAGGATATGAAATTTAACACGCGGTTAGCCATTTTCTAACTTGATTTTAAATAGTAATTGGAATAGGAGGGTTTTTAAGTTGGTGAAGGAAAGAGCATGACGAATTTTTAAAGGGAGGAAATTCCTGAGATTAGTGGACCGGGCAATAAAGAAGTTTTGGAAAGATGTATCTATGAATTTAAGAGAAATACATTCTTGATTCTTCCACTCCGAAAAGCCGGAATGACTTTTTATTACACTTTGTAACTTTTTATTTGCAAGGATGTCACAAGATCTAAATTGTTTATTCCAAAGTGAGGACTCTAAGAAATTGTCGAATAAATATTTAATTATAGCAGATAAAGATAAAAAGATAAGTATTGTATATATATGAGATAGATACAGAGCATATTCAGTGACAATGCTGACTGTCGTGCTGTGTGTTGCGGCCTTGGGGCACCTCGTCCTGGGAGAGAACCCCCAGGTCACCACCTCTTATGGTACCATGAAGGGGCAGGTCCTCAAGTCTAGAGATGGCAGGGATTTCTTCTCCTTCACTAAGATCCCTTATGCCAAGCCACCTGTCGGAGAGCGGAGGTTCTTGGTGAGTATGTATTTTCAAAAAAAAGTAAGATACTTCTGTAATCTCAGTAAGAGACTTCTGTACTCTCAGTAAGATACTTCTGTACTCTCAGTAAGAGACTTCTAAACTCTCAGTAAGAGACTTCTATACTCTTAGTAAGTGAGAGAACTATAAAAACTACACAAACTAAGGCTTTTCCATGCCAAACAAATACCAAGCCGAGTCTTGGTCCTCAGTTAGGCGCTCTTGGTCTTGGTCTTGGTCTTGCAACAGCTTGGCGTTCTTGGTGTTGGTCTTGGTCTTGCAACAGCTAGGCGTTCTTGGTGTTGGTCTTACAAAGTGTGATACCAATACCGATTTTAAGCAACATTAGTGTTTGCTGAATAGATTATCTTTTTATTATTATATTGTATACATCAAAATTGGGAAACATGGGTTCTTCGTGGGCTAGCTGACGAACAAACTTATCAATCTAAAATCTATTAATATTCAATTATTTAGGTTAACTAATTCTTCATTTTTTTTTTCAGGGGTGTAAACATTTTTCATAAATATTATTTAAGCTAAACCATTGCCTATTCTTTTCTTTCTGGCCCCTTTGATCTGAAAATTCTGTCGATTTGTGCTGCATAGTCTGCTGCAGCACTACAATTCTCCTGCGTAGTAATGATTTCTTTCTAAACTTAATTTATAGTTCCTCCTTTTCTCGAGGAAAATTTGAAAAGTTGGGTACATGTATAAGGGTATGTATTTACTCATACATAAAAATATAAATAAAGGAAGGAGATGGTCCGGGATGACGGTCATAAATAGGCTAAATAATGGTAAAACTATTTTATAGAAATAGTAAATACATATAAAAAATATATAAAATGTTGTAAATACCCGAAAAACGAATTTACTACAACATTTATTGCATGAGTTATTACTCTTAGAAAGTTCATATCACAACTGAAATGCCATTTATTGAACAACCTTTTTTTTTTTCATCACATTCTCTGGTCCGCGTGACTTATTGAAGGTCTCAGGGCTTTGTTGAGGTGTCAATTAGGCCCGGGGGGCCAAAAAGTTTACACAGGGTGTTTCAGGGTCAAGTGGCCAAACTGAAAATATGAATTAAGGACCTCAAAACAAGAAAAAAATTTCCTATGAAAGTATGTACGCAAAAGCTTTGTTTAGGAAATATTCAAACCTAAAGATTTTCATTGTTATGAATTATTTACGTTATCTATATAAATAAAATAAACATTTTGTCTATACATTAAATAGAATCCCCTTTTTTATGATATATTTCCGTTTCATACATTGCAGACACCAAATCCACTTTTAAAAAAATTTTTCTCTGCATGTTCGCATTGCAACGAAATTTTGTCAGAGGTGAGCTCAGCAATGGCTTACTGTAGACTTTTGAAATTTTGTCATTCTATTAAGATTTTCTTGACTTAAAACATAGGCTTTAAATGAAAACAAAATATTGAGTAGAACCAAACTTATGAATACTTGAGTAATTTGTTTACAGATCCCGATTAGGCAGTTATTTCGATTCCCATCCCAACCTACTCTATCGCGAGCCACATGTAAAAGTTGCACTACTCTACTGATAAAAAAGAAATCATCACAACTCAACGAAAAAAATCCGGAATACCGAACATCTGTTGTCTCTTAAAACACACCCATTCTTCAACTTTGTCCAATCTTCCCGTTCAAGGTGTCATTCGATTCAACTTCCCGAACCTAACAAATGTTGTCATATACATTTTTAGGAATAATCAAACAGATTAGCCGAAAATCGAGAAAAAAAAATAAAAAAAATTGATCCTGCCCGCCACAATATTCAGATCAAGTTATAATTTTACACGGATATAGATAACTCAATGTCCAATGTTATTTTACAAGCGATAAATTCAGCAGAGTTTAAAGAAGTGGGGAGACTACAACTATTTTTGATTAATTAATCGACTCCACAATCTCCTCGCTTCATGATAAATGAAAACACTTAAGACATTTTAATAGTTCATTGGTGGTCGTTTTAGTTGTGTGGTACCTAAACAAATAGCCGAATAACATTGTTTTTGTTATGGCTATTGCGAAACCTTGATTTTCATAAGCCCCGCCATAAAAGAATTCAAAACAACCCCTGTCCTCTCTCCTGATCCTTGAATTTGCACCCTCCTCCGTCCATAATACAAAATCCATCTCAAAAAAAGATTCTCAAATTTTAACTACACCCGTCAATGATGGGTACATCAGCTAGTATTAAGTAAATAAAACTTATTTATTTGTTCCAACTACTTCAATAATTAAACGTAAACATTAAATTCACATTAAATGTTGTCCAAAGTGAGCATTAGACTTAGGTCAAAAATAACATCAGCACGTGGTATTATAGCAAATCGCCGGGCATATTCACGACGGGCAGCATTAACATTACCATGGCAAAAACCGTGTACATACACCATATCGGCATATTCACTATTAGTATAAATGAAAGGCGTAATGATGAGTACTCTGCGAAAGCCTCTTACAAACTGATAAATGTTATTGAGAGTTCCCAATGCTAATTCCAAATAGTATTTATCCTTATGTTGCCAATAGTTTTTATACAGTTAGGGATAAAAGGCCATATTAGTATTATATTTAATCCATCTCCTAAACAAATGCGGACATACCTTCACTTTAAACAACATTTGATATGAATGTTGTCTTGTTTACATTTAACAAATAAAGTAGTAAGAAAAAATAAGTAGGTTTTATTTCTTTCATATAACGTAAATAATTTCTAAAAACGAAAATCTTTAGGTGCGAATATCTCATAAACATAGCGTTTGAGGACATACCTTCAGAGGAAATTTGTTTCTCTTTTTAAGACTCTTAATTCATTTTTGCAGTTTGGTCATTTAACTCTGAAACACTCTGTGAACATCTTTCATTGATATCGCTTACTTTACGTCAAATGCTTTAGGAAAAAAAAAATACTTATCTAATGTGAGTGTTCTCACTGAAGTGTACTTGCCGATGGCATAGTTTGTCAAGAATTTAGGTCAAAGGTGATAGTTCAATAGAATTTGATGGGACTATTTGTTTTTTAGGAACAAGTTTGGAGTATCTGGAATTGTTTTGACTTTTTCATCAAAAATAAGATTCTGACCCACGAATGATCTGTTATTCTTAATTATTTGAAAAAATTTCAGATCTTGTTGAAAAACGTATGCTCCCTTAATATATAACTGCTTAATATTTTTTTTTAAATTTATTTATTCATGATATTTACAACTGTATTAAAAAATTAAATACATTAAGTAAATTTGATAACAGAAAATAATAACATGAAATGACTTGTTGAGAAACTACCCATTGGTAGCACTCTACTTTAATAAATTTAAAATTTAAATTTATAAAAATTGACTTTTATTTTTAGATTTCTGAGAAAGCAGATAACTGGACTGGGATATTGGACGCCACTCAAACCATTCCAGCATGTTACCAGTCATTTATGGAATTCGTTAAGATAGGACAAGAGGACTGCCTCTACTTGAACGTATTCTCGCCAAACGTAAGCTCAGCTTGAAATGACTAATTAGATTTCAGAGTCTCAATTTCAAGTTCTATTTATTCTTTACATACTAACAAATTTTAAAATTATTATTTTATATTTAAGTAAAAAGTGCTAGGCGCATACTTTCCATTTCGATTGGGGGAGGAGGAGCTGTATGAAGAACCAAAAAACAAAAATAAAAAAATAAAAGTCAGTAATTCTTATCTAGTTTAAAATTCACCATAATTATTGTAACATAAATAATTATATAAATGTATAGATTTGTTTGGAAGTTATACAAACTCATAGACATACAATTTATTTTAATCTACAATATATTGACCATTATTTAATGTGACCTTTTCCCATCTTTCAACTAACTGTATAATGTCACATTCATAGAATGTCAGGAGTTTATTGTTAAAAAACTGATCCAAGTGGTTTTTTATGTCCTCTTCCTTTTGGAATTTCTTTCCATCCATGGAGTTCTGCAGAGACCGGAATAAGCGGTAGTCACTTGGAACTAGGTCTGGTGAATAGGGAGGGTGGGGCAAAAGGTCCCATCCAAGGCCCAATAATTTATTGCGAGTGACCAATGAGGTGTGGGGCCAAGAGTTGTCTTGTTGGAACACACCGCCCTTCCGATCATTCTTAACTCTTCAGGATATTCTCCAAATTCGATGTTACTATATTCGTTGGAAAGCAGAATTATTGCTCTTCAAAGCCGTATGAATGGTTTTTTGATTTAATACCTACACAAACAATAAATAAAAAAAAACTCGTTGTAGGTTTTTATTTTAATCTCCATTTTTAGTTTGTTTACGAAGGTCCTGTTGATGTCATTTTGTGTAGTTAATGTGACCCTAAATTCCTGCTAAATTTCTTGTAGATAGCTAAAGTCATATTGAAGTTATAACATTTGCTGTGATTTTCGAAAACAAAATCATGCGAGGGACCCAAACATTAAGCCTACAAACATAGCCGAGCTTGTGCCAATGGTTTTCTAAGCTTGTGTGCGACACATTTAGAGCCATAGCAATCACTCGCACCCATTGGGTGGGAATTTGATCAGAAATGGCCTTAACATTGCTCTTTTCAATTTCATGTGGGCGACCAGACCGTTGAGCATCATTGATGTCTAAAATTCCTGAGTGGAATTTGGCAAACCAACTTTGGCAGGTGCGTTCGGTTAAGGCATCATAAACATTGCGAACTTTTCTATGAGCTTCTGCAGAACACTCACCTTTTTGTTAAATAATACTACAAAATATGCCGGTAATGAATGATATTTTCTATCATATTGACAATGCAATAGCAAACACATTACTCAGATAGTTTCAACAAGAGTTAACAGATATAGCTGTTGACATATTACAAAGAAGATAAACAATGCATCTTAGAGATTAATTCAGTAGATAAGAAGTGCATCATAGTGACATAAAAATAAACAGATACACCGAAAGGACTTATTTGCCAACCCAATATTATCAATTTTAAATTGTTTTTAGTTCAACTTATTGGTTAAGGGCAATCGGTATTCTAGAACCTCAACATTTTTATTAGGGGGGAGTAATCGAAATATATATATATATTTCCTATATATATATATATATATATATATATGAGGCGCTTGCAATAGGTAATTAAGCAACGCCACTTGCCAGCGTGGCTAGCACTTGGATGGGTGACCGTCCACCAAGGAAAGCCTCGCTGCTCGAGATTCCTCCCTACCTCGAATATGAGAGGCCCGTCAGCCTATTGGAGGCAACTCACACAGACCGGATTGATGACCCTACCCCGTACTTTATATCGGGAATCGGGATGTGGTCTCGGAGACCACACTCTCGGTCCAAGATCTTTATGGTCTGCACCACCAATCGAAAAAAAAAATAAATATATATATATGTGTGTGTGTGTGTTAATTTTGAATACCTAGAAGCCTAAATTGAAGATTTAATCGGTATTCTCCACATTCTTCTGGAATTTTTGGAATACAATGAATTTTTATATTTCCAGTTAGCCGGAAAATTACCAGTTATCTTCAGCATACACGGCGGAGCCTTCCTGGGAGGTACTGCTGGTACCTTCGGCTCTGCAAGGTTTTTTATGGATGAAGATGTGGTTTTTGTTGGCCTTAATTATCGTCTTGGAAATTTAGGTTTGCTATAAATAAGTTATCAAAATCAACTTTATCACTAAGTTAGGTTAATAATTACTAGAGTCAAATATTTACTTTGTTTGCGAACTTTTTTTAAAGGATTCCTCAGTCTAGAAGATAACGTGATACCTGGAAACAACGGTCTTAAGGACCAAGCATTGGCATTAGAGTGGGTTCAAAAGGAAATCAGTGCATTTGGAGGAGACCCGAATCGGATAACAGTTATCGGAGAGAGTGCAGGGGGTGCATCGACAGATCTAATTTGTTCAGCTCCGAGGACGAATGGTGAGAATCCTATTTGTTCACAAACAAAACGTCATTATTAAACGAATGATATTTTAAAATATCAACAGTTTTCTTATTTCATTATTAATTCTTCTATTGTTTCAGGTATTATCAAAGCCTGCATTTCGCAAAGTGGAGTTGGATTATCACCTTGGGTATTTGGGAAACCAGGAATACCCAGACAAATGGCCTTGAACATGGCAAAAGCAGTTGGTTGTTCAGAAAATGGAGATCTCCTTAAATGTCTTCAGAGTAAACCGATTGAGCGAGTCGCAAACACCTCTTTGATGGTAGATGTAAGTGAGCACATGGATACGTTTAAGAGGGTTTCAGACATTTGATATTTTACTTATTTAATAGCAAATCGGTGCATGTTTCTAGAAATTTGACAGTAATAGTGATAGTATAATCAAATATATTTTACTTGTGAATACATACGACTCCGCTAATAGAAGTACATATATACCACCACGGACTAATATGCTCCTCTTAAGTACCGGCATTTCGGAAACTTTGGGGAGAGGCCACAGGCGTATCTACGGAATGGGAGGGAAGGCTTAAGGGTTGACGCCCGCCTCCTAAATGGTGAAGTATAGCCATGTCTAATGAAAAATATATTAAAAAATGATCTCGAAAAGTATTAATACTAGCGTAACTAATTGCATTTAATAGGATTTCAAGAATAACTAATATACACCGTTTTATATAGTTTCTTTCTTTTTCTTCCAAAGTAATCATCCAAAGTATACATATACATATATATTTTTACAATTTTTCCTTAATCGATCTTTGAGTATTAAATTTAAACTTAACTATTTAATTGAGAATAAGGTCACTTATTAATTATTTAATAAACTATTGAATGTTCATTTCTTCTATGTTTATTGACGTTTCGATCCCGGTATTTTCTTTTTATAAGTAGCTTAATGAAAGTAGCTTAATATATGTGCTAGTGGACGGTGCTGAGACTATCGGTGTGTCCCTGCCCTGATCGAAGCTCTATTTTTTAAAATTCTAGCTTTGAAGAGGATCCCATCGTTGACTTATAAAAAGAAAATACCTCGATCGAAACGTCAATAAACATAGAAGAAATGAACATTCAATAGTTTATTAAATAATTAATAAGTGACCTTATTCCCAATTAAATAGTTAAGTTTAAATTCATACATATATATATATATATAATATATATATATATATATATATAAACAATAAAAAATTTCGGGCTGAAGCCTCCTTCCGTTAGTGAGAGAGGAAAAGACTAGAGGGCGAAGGGAGAGTTACATGACTGCAGTACCTCATTAATCACTTTATTTTCAGTATATATTTATATTGTAGATAGTATATATATTTATATTATAATATAATATATTATTTCTCCAAAGTTTTTTGAATGTATATGAATAAAAAATTGTGAGCCATATCTTCGTTCATTCGTCTACAAATTAATCATTTAAATGATTATCTTCTTCTTCAGATGACAAAAATTAGCGCATCTGTCAGAAAAAAAAAAGTTATGAAGAAAACAATATTTTATGTACGCATAGGTCAAAGTGCACAATTAATGGTGCTATGTAGTATACAGATTTGGAAAGATTTACAAATTCTCTACAAAACGAGTAAAAAAAAAAATCCAATTCGGACTATTTTTAGCAAAGATACAGCCAATTGTATTTTGTGCATGTATTTTGGTTTATTAATTGGAACGACCCATACACCTGTTTTTTTTTTTTTTTTTGTAATCGTATTTATTATTTGTAATTGAACAAAAAAAAAAAATACAAATTAGTTCGCCCCTCTTATAATGCATTCATCGAACTAAAAAAAAAAAATTAAATGATTTTTGATTAATCGAAATTTGGATATTTCAGAATGACCACAATGTAAACCTCCCTACTCCAGTTTTGGAACCTGTAGGAGCTCCAGGGGCTTTGCTGACGAAGTGGCCAACGGGCACAAACCATAATTACCCTTGGATTATCGGAGTGGTTCAGGATGAAGGACTAATCATGACTGCAGGTAAGTTAAAGATATTAAAGAATTTCGATATATATATGTATATATATATACAATCATGGTGAGAGTCTCGCTTTGTTCGAAAGGATTGGTGATTGATTGTATTCTTAAACGTTGCTTCCTATCTGTATATATATATATATGTTAATTACATAATAATTTTTTTATCATATTTTTTTTGAAATCCTTCAACTCATATTGTCCAATCCACAAAGCAAGTCCTGCATAAACGATTTCTTATCGATCTTGCCTCATTATCATCAACACAATTTAAAAATAATAAAATAAAACGCTTATAATCCGCGGAATACGAAAAAAAAGGAAATAGGAAGTGTGAAATATTGAGTTAGTAAATGTTGATTTAGTCCTAATATTAAATTAAAATTTAGTTTAATAAGTGAGAAATGGAAAAAAAAGACATGAAGCATTTTTGCAATTATTCGACGGATTGCAGTTTGTTCTAAATTTTTTTCCCATTTTTTTTTTAAATTTTGATCTTTGTTTTTAAATTTCTATTCACACTTAAGTGTATGCCTTAACCTCAGTTTAATAAAAATCAAAATTAACTTACCAATTTTTTTTTTTTGATAGAATGAAATAATGCTGAAAATGAAAACACAGATTTCCCGAATCGTCCAATAAATAACTATGAAAAGTTAATTTTTATTTTTATTATACTTATCTTATAGCAAACACTTAAGTATGATATGGATTTTTTTTTGGTTTGTATGTATTGTCAAATAAAATTACTACTGAAAATGGCATTGATGCTTTATGCTATATACTAACATACAAATTTTACAAAAATATATCAAATATTTTATAGCCTAAAGATATTTATAATACTTAATTAAATCGCACTATTAGTATTTCTGCCTGTTTCAATATACAGTTAATATGTATCTTTGTTTTATAATTTCTAAATTTTTCTGAAGAATATGCGTATGGTTTATCATTAAATTAAACACAATTTAATTATTTTGTCTTTATATCTGATATATACATTTTATCATTTTTTCAGCTTTCGAATTACATGCGAAAACTAAGGAAGAGACAGACAAGTATATCAACGATTTCAATCAATCTCTAATCACAGCATACCATTTAGAAAAAAAACCCAACGACGTTCAAAGACTGAGAGAGAGGTATTTCAAAGAAGGCATTGAACCCTGAGAGCAATCCGAAACGTTAGTATTTTTAAAAAATATTTATTTTATTTGTATTATCTTTTCTTCATCCGGACAAGATACTGGAGAATCCACATCAGACTGAAAATAAAAGAACTAGACAAACGATCTTCATTCAGGTTAATTGCCAGAAGCTCCAAATTATGCTTAGCTGGCAGACTTACAGTTTGCAAAGTAACAATAAGACCCTCACAAACGTACGAAATATAGCTATGGTGCTCTGCAAAAATTCTATGGTGCTCTCATTCGGAAAATTCAGAGTATCTGGCCAAAGGAATCGGATGGACACATTAATCTATGTAATTTATAACACAAGGTAGTTGACATACACATTACATGACATGTACATCTTTACAACCATAACCAGAAAACAACTAGTCCCACTCTGAAGACTTTCGAGATGCTACATAGAGGCTCAGAAACACTGAATTCGTAGACAATGCATACAAGTGGTAAATTTTAAATAGAATGCCAAATTGTTTTGCTAATGAACTCATTCTTATAATTGATTTCAACCCCAAACCATATTAACATATTTATCACATGAATGGTTGTCATCCGATCGGGATAGAAGAAACTAATTTGAAATATATGTTAGAATTTATATGACAATATTGTTCATATTAAACTTGACAATATATTATGTTAGCGAATTTTAACTTTTAATTATCTTTATTTTTTAATTACAACGTTACGAAAATGCTGTATGAAAATGTTGCATAAAAATGACACAAACTCTTTTATATATCATATATAAAACGACCACATCGTTCCTGTCATCATATGATCAGAACCGATCCGCAAGCTCCACGTTCCCTCATTGCTTTCCCTCCACTTTGACTAAGACTGTGTGGTATACGGTGTCCTCTCGATGGTGCTCGAGTATAGAGCGAAGAGAATTATGAACTGCTTACGAAGATATGTCTTCGGTACTTCGAGAGGGTCTCATGTGCCCCACCTGCATGGTGAGTTAAAGTGGCTTTTCCGCTATCAATACATTCTCGGAAATTTCTTATACCAAACCATCAATTCCAAGCATCCATTCTATATCTACCGTTTCCTTAAGAGTAAATCCTCAGTTCACTCACAGAAAACAAGATCCCGTGTTTCTGACGCCTATATCCCCTCCTATAGAACTAAAACCTCTGAACTTTCCTTCCTACCTCGCTTCGTAGCATTATGGAATTCCTTGCCATAAAACACCGGTCAAGCGTCTTTCCTCTCCTCATTCAAATACTTCATTTTCCAATACTTACTCACATCACAAACAGACGATCTGCAATTGGAAAATTTTATTTTACGAATTGAATTTTATTAGAATTAAATAGTAGTGTCTACTGTTTACGTTTTAACATTTAAAAAAAAATCAATGTTTTGTCTTCACTTTTTTTTTTAATTTTTTTTTAGGTTTTTCTTTTTCTTTCTGTATGTATTTTTTTATTATTTAAATAACTGTACCTTAGAATTTTTATTAAGTTAGTTTTGGTCCAGATATATTTTTTTGTTTTGTTTGTTTATTGTTCATCATTGTTATTCTTAGAGAAATTTGTCCCAAAATAAAGTTTATTTTTCTATCTATAGTTTGCATCAAGTCAACAACTTTCTGATTTCACAGAGGGACAATTCATCAAAATACATATGTGTCCTATGTAACTTAATGAATGTTACTAAGCGTAAATGCTCAGTTCACTCATAGAAAACAAGATCTTGTGTTACTGACGCCTATACTCCCTCCTATAAAACTAAATCCTCTGAACATTCCTTCCTAACCCGCTTCGTAGCCTTATGGAATTCCTTGCCACAAAACACCCGTCTTTCCTGTCATAATTCAAATATCTCATTTTCGTATCCTTATTTGTATCACAAACAGACGATCTGTAATTGTAAAATTTCATTTTACGAATTTAATTTTATTAGAATTAAATAGTAGAGTCTACCGTTTATGTTTTAACATTTAAAAAATCAATGTTTTGTCTTTACTTTAAAAAAAAAAAAAATTAGGTTTTTCTTTTTCTTTCTATATGTATTTTTTTATTACTTAAATAACTGTACCTTAGAATTTGTATTAAGTTAGTTTTGAACCAGATATTTATTTTATTGTTTGTTTATTGTTCATCATTGTTATTTTTATGGAAGCTTGTCCCACAATAAAATTTATTTTTCTACCTATAGTTTACATGAAGTGAACAACTTGATTTCACAGAGAAAAAAAATCATCATAATACATATTTTACTTACGTAACTTAATGAATGTTACTAAATGGATTTACAATATACCCACATATATATTTGATATATAATATGTTTCAGTATTTTACGGAAGTCTTGTTTGTGTACCCGTCTTTGAAGAGTATAAGCGAGCATCCTGGGCCAACTTATTTCTACAAGTTCAATTACACTAGAGGACCAGGGATCTCCATGCTCAACATAACTTTCCCTGGTAAATGAGAGTTGACTATTTTGTTGAAAAAAATATCTCATGTATGTTTTTGTTGATTTTGGTTTATTATTTTCAATAATGAACCATTGCAATCGTCCAAAAATCCTCCACCCCAAAATTTAAGGTTTTACGTTTCGGCCGCTGAAAAAGCTGTGCTGGTATAGACCGATGTCAATGAAACTTGACTAAGGTCTTCTATTTGTAAACCTTTAAAATGTATCTATTTAACATACTTCAAAGGAAAAAAGTTGAAAAAAAGTTTCGACGAATGGTAAAATTAGAATTTCGAATAACTCAAAAAGTATACAATTTTTTGTTGTTATAGTCATTTGAAAGTTTACGAAATGTCCTGAAATATAAAAAAATTGCTGAAATCAGATAATTTGGCGCAAAGATGTGGAGTTTAAATATTTTTCAAATGTTCTACTGCAAAGCGTATTTCCTTTGTTTTGGTTTTTAATATCCTGAAAGTGTTACAACTATTGAAGCAATGTTTTTCTTTTTCTTATCAAATTGCTAATGAAGAAGTAAAAAATAAAAAATTTACGGTATTATTAGTAAATAATTTTCATTTATTTTTTCCTCATGTTTTCAAGAAAAGTAATGTTAGTTTTGATATACCATTGTTAGGAAATAATAAACCATTGATATTAATAAACCATAATTTGCAGCGTTTTTTGAATATGTAATGAAGTATGAATGTGACCAAATACTTTGTTCAATTTAATGTCATGCTTCGTTGCAAGGGTCACAAAATATTGTAATTTTATTATAGCATTTTGTGAAATTTGCACCTGCGCTGCAGCACATCTAACAAATCTGATGTATTAGCCATTAGCTGCGAATTTGCTTGATTTTTTTTTTCCTTGTTATTAATGTAGAAGTAGGTCCCTTGGCCATTTTCTTTTCAGTCTGCGTCGATCAGGTAACAGGGAACAGCAAATAGAAAGGACTAATGTATTGATGTGATTTAGAGATTATGAATGAAGTTAACTATATTTGTAGTGGTTGTTGGATTTTACTGTTGGGAAGTTTAAGTCGTTGTGTATAGTGATATTCGAAATGTACCAAGGTGCATTGACAATTTTTCGTAGAATTTTTTATTGCGTTTGTATTTTGTTTATGCGTGTTTGTTTTGCCGAATCCTAAAGTTCTGCTTCGTATGTCCAACTTGCTCTCAGTATAGTGTTGTAGATCAGTAGCTTGTTTATTAAGTTAAGTAAGGATCTGTAGTCCAGAAGATATGAGAGTTGGTTATATCGTCTAGTCAGTTTATGTCTTTTTAATTTAGTATGTACTTTCGGGGTAAGTCTTTTGTCTAAGTAGAGTTCAACGTAATTTTTTTTAAGGCACTGTGTTATTGCCAATGATTATGGGTGGACATGAGGCTTTTCTAAGAGAGAAAGTCATGTGGGTGGATTTGCTACAGTTAATTTTAATTTTCCATTTTTCAAACCAGTTTTGAAGATCATAGAGGTGATTTTGAAGAGAAATTGATGCGAAAGTAGGATTTTTTTATTTTCATATAATTCAAATTCCGATATAATTATAGCGCTGATGAGCTTGTTTCTTATAATTCTAACATGAAATCATACATCAAAGAATAAGTTCTGTTTTTTTTTTTTTACTACATAAAAACATTGTGTTGTTTAATTTTTGAAGTTTTGAAATTATAATATATAAATATTTTAATTACAATGATGCTAGAAGGATAGTAAAATGATAGTTCTTTTAAATATTCTAGTCAACTCTCATACCACATAGTTTATCTTGATCGCGGATATTATAATTTTGTTTAAGGAGTTCCACATGCTGCGGAATTGCCCTATTTCTTCGAGGCAGTCTCGACTAAACCAGACTGGCCAAACGCGGCCGACATTGCACTGTCCAAGCAGCTTGTCAAGATGTGGGTGAACTTCGCCAGAGATCAGTAAGTAATTTATTTTAATAGCGTTTTAAAATGTCTACTAACCTATTAGCCAATATAATACTTTATGTTATAAATTTTTATTTACTGGTAAAAAATGTGTGAAATAATAATATTTCAAGAATAATATTTAACTTGTTCCTTGCTTTCAAGAACTTTCTTTTAAATACTTTATTGGACCAAAAATGAATTCATTACATTTATAATTTTGTAAAATTGTTTAAATAACCCAAAATAGTTGATCAAGTATTTAGTAATGTTATGAGTAAATTCCCTAACGTAATTGCGGCGAATAACGGTTGAAAATCAACTTTTTTCGAGAAAAGAAATTTATCACTCTAAATCTGCGTGACACAGAAAAATAATTTCAATGCCATCCTAATCACAATTAAATCAACTTAAAGATGTATAATTTAAAAAATGAGATATCTCCATCATAAAGAAAAAAATCGAATAGTTTTTTACATTCATAAAATAAAATAAAAACTAATCTGTAATTTTGGGGGATGATAGAGGGTTGACAGGTTTTTTTAAATTAAATACAACAACCTCTATAGATGAAATGTTCGAATTTTATAAAAATGAATAAATGAATAAAATAGTAGCCAAGACTAAGTAATCTATTATTTCGGTTTAAATGTAAACGTAGTAGGTATATTTTAGTCATAACAAAAAATATGATGGAGTTACATATTTTTATTATTTATTTCAATCTTTTTTTTTTGTTTAGGCATCTATTCTGTATTTCTCACATATTCTAAAATCTTTACAATGTTTGTCTTGATTGAACAAATTTTTTATTAAATCGTCTGGTTTCTTTCTAGTTTTGTGTTTTTTTAATAAATATTTATTTTAGTTACCTAATAAACATTACAAAGATAGATCCTTTTTTTTTTAAATTATGTTATAAAAATAAAACAAAGATATACTAAGTTATTAATGTATATCTATAAAAATACTGAGTTATTAATCTTTATTCCGAACTAAATAACTTTTTTTTTTCAATTTTTTCATTTAACAATGCTTCTTGTATAACGACTAAAATGATTATATAATTTATTATATAATAAACAGATAATGAAATCTTATATAATAATATACGCAATACCAATATTTATATACTTGATGGCAACTACTCCTTTTCATTGAAAAGAATGATCCATCACGCACCCAAATTATGCTTACAGACGCACGTGGACGCAGCTAAAATTTGATTAAATATTTTATTAGCTCGAAAGATATGTATATATATATTTGACTTATATTAATATATATGGAATACAAAAATATTTTTATTTTCGTATTTATTCGAGATATTATTACTGGCTTAAAGAAATGAACATTATTCTTTGATTAGAGCTAAAAGGCTCGTTACAGTTGTAAACATCAAAATATTTCCGATTAAATTAGTAAAATATCATATGTATGTAATGTACTCACCAATGATGAAAATTCTTTCCAATAAATTAAAAAAAAAATTTCAGCAACTGTGCGGCAAGAAATAATTAGTGGATTAAAAAAAATTAATTTTAGCTTATTTATTTATTGATTCTTCATTTTTTTTCTGGGAAAAGATTAAACTTATTGTTTTCAATAATTCAGATTTGATAAAACATTTCATTAAATTTTAAACTGATTAACAATCTTATTATTTTCTCCCATAAAACTAAATTCTTGTTTTTCTTTAAATTCATGTATAATAAATGTACGTCACATAAATTCTAACAACATATTGCTGAGTATTTGACAAAATAACAAACTACCCTAACCTGAACGATAACCATACATAAATCAAATATACATTTCCAAGTCGAAAATTGAGATTGAAATGTACTATAAATTATAACCAAATTGTGATCACATAAGGCAGTTTTTTTTACCGTAAATTTAGAACTCATTACGTCGTGTTAGATTGATCTAGCGATAATAATCAACAAATATGATGGAGTTACATATTTTTATTATTTATTTCAATCTTTTTTTTTTGTTTAGGCATCTATTCTGTATTTCTCACATATTCTAAAATCTTTACAATGTTTGATTGAACAAATTTTTTATTAAATCGTCTGGTTTCTTTCTAGTTTTGTGTTTTTTTAATAAATATTTATTTTAGTTACCTAATAAACATTACAAAGATAGATCCTTTTTTTTTTAAAAAATTATGTTATAAAAATAAAACAAAGATATACCAAGTTATTAATGTATATCTATAAAAATACTGAGTTATTGATCTTTATTCCGAACTAAATCATAATAATTAAAAATATATACGTATATATAATACACCAACAAAAAATATATTTGATCAATGGACAATGTATTAATAAAGAAAATATATATGAAATATAAACCTCAAAAATATAGTACAACGTTATAAATTGAAAAATCCACTCCTTCATAATATAAAAATATATTTAATTATTCTAATGTTTGTAAGAAGATTAATTGTATTATTAATTAAATTAACTTTCTAGAACACCAAGCAGCCAGGGCACTGTACAATGGCCCCAATTCAAGGGACAATATTATTTGGATATACAAGATAGTGGAGTAACGATCAGCAACTGGACCGATTATCAGGAGACACTCGATTTCTGGAAATCGATAGTTCCAGATGAGCCTTCTAAATCGTCAACGAGTCATTCATCTTTGCTATTGATTGCAGCTATGTGCATCTTCTCCGTCTACAAAACCATAATATGATTCATTCAGGACTGATAGATACAGAATGATGGGGCTCATAGATAAATAAAAAAGATCTAACGGAAATCGAGATAACAATTCAATCCTTATCTATTTTTTAAAAATTTACTGGATTAGTATAAATAAACTACACCATTATTAGTATATGTATTAGAAATGAGGTATTTCCTTTAAATTATTTTCTGACTGTCAATAGATAAAATGTGATAATTTTAAAATTTAACAAATCAATCAAAGTATGTTATAATTTAACTTAACAATGATGTAACATGTGTTGAATAAAATTTTATATACGTATTTTTAATTCAGCTATTATGTATAATTTATTATATTTCTTTGTATATTCTGTATGTGCCATAAGGGTTCGTACAAGGATATAACCGTATCAAGAAAACTCAATTCGGTATTGAAAAAAAAATGAGTAAATTTGAGCTGTAATAGCATTCAAGTGATGAATAAGATTGGATTGCACTTTTTGAATAGTAAAAATGATTAATAGTTAGCTAAAAACTTTAAAATAACACTACGTCTCGGTGCTGAGGTGGGGACTGGCGGTTTGGCCTATGTCCACTATAGGATGACGTATATTGCTGAAAAACACAATATTGTCAAAGTGTCTCAGCTCTAATTTATTTAAACAAATTTATAAAAGATGATATACATTATAAAAGCTGGAAATATATTTTAAGCTAAAAAGTATAAGATTTCCCACACTATGAGCTAGGTCTGGCAAGACGCAGTTTCTACTCTCGTGTCTATTTCCATCAATATTTTTCGGCGTCAATTATCATTGCAAATAGGCATCAGAAAAACTGTGGACTTTTATTGTTATAACCTTATCTTCAATTATCTTTGTAGCTGTAAAAAAAAAAGCTTTAAAGAAATAATAGTGCAGAAATGTTTTTTCCGAATATATGATTTGATAATACTATGGAACCTTACTGTGGGAGTCAGGGGTATTTCAAAATCGAAAATACAAAACTTTCCCCGGTGAGTTCCCTCAATGTTGAGAAATACGAATACAATTTAAAATTAAGGCAATGAAGGTAATAGAATGAAGAAAATGAATGATTAAAAATGGACCTGTAAAATAGAAAAAATGCATACACAACAAAATTATATTGAATAAAACATTTAAGAAATCGATAATGTCAAATAAAGAATCCCCATTTTGAACGTTTACAATATTTATTATATTGAAATAATATATATATATACAAAGTTGAAAACAAAATAAACAATGGTGCGAAAGTTCATTGAAATAAAAATAAACACAATACTCTATGAAAATAAGAATAAAAATATCCATCAAAACAACATCAACAAAAATTAAAATTAATAACAAGAAAAATTAATTGATTTAGTGATTTAGATTTAGAAAAAAAATGTTCAAGTGTCTTTTGGGTGACGGTGAGAATATAAAAGAAAATTCAAGTGATAGGTAGATAGCCCTATTCCCAATGAGGTTACCTCTCTTGATGTTCAACTGTCGGTAGTGGGAGGAACGGGGTATCGATACGCTAGGCTTATCGATACTGATGACTGCCGATGTGCCAACAGCTGTAATCAGAAAATGGCGCTAGGCTGGCGCAAGTTAAGCTGAGCCTGAACCTGGTGAAATGGTGGAGGAAGATGTCCAATACGAGAACCCAACATAAACGAAAGCTCGCTCCAGACTGACTTTCCGGCAGGCTTATCCAATATTTTGGTGTCTTAATACCCAATACTGGGTATTACTGCCGGGTTGTCCGGATAATATCCAATATTTATATAATATATATTTTAGATACAACTATTCTCCGACTATTACAAAAAATAAACATTTAAAAATGAATGAACAGAAATTTTTTATTTTCTTGGCTTTTGAGCTTTATTTATTCCAGGTCAATCGATCGTTTTCTCTCGTTAAATAAAATGAGTGAGTTACAATTTTTATTAATTTATTTCCTAATTATGCATTTTATTCATATTCTTGCCACTATTTTCAAATTTAATACCATATAACTAAATACTAATACTACTGGCCTAAAATTTATTTAATAAAAATAATAATAAAGAAAATGTATATTTCTTTGTAAGTTACTGATTTATTTGTAATTAGTAATAAGTACGTGATATAAGAGCACATAAGAGCAATTATCCGAGCAGAATTTCGTTAAAAAGTTAAAATAAATTATATAAGCTCGAATAATATGACTCATTTAATGATAAACACTTCAGTTATCACAGGTCCTATGTTTGCCATTACTTATCAGCTAGGTACTCGAAAAGGGAAGATTTACAAGCGAAACATGGGAGACTAGTTTCAAACGATTTTAAATTGGCATAAAAGCAGTTTGGCTTCAATAAAAAAATGTAACTAAACAAAATATACACATCACACTTATGATGAAATTAAAAATAACTGATATGAATAACTTTTTTTATTGTATTATGTTTTCTTTTAAAATACGCCAAAACTATTGGTATGCTAGAATGGGGAAATTACATTTGTGAGGAAGAAATCATAAGTTTATTTCTGATTTTATTCATTTACAATTCCGAATAATTTATATATTAATCTTGTATGGTATTCCATTATTTGTACTTTAAAAAAATTTAAAACACATATATTTTATAACATTTAATAAATTATGACCTGTCATAAATTCGAATGTGTTTGATATATAATTTTCAAGTAATAAATAATAATGATTGAATGAAAAAGTGGTGTACATCAAAAATTGAACTTCTAGATATTTAAACCTTAAAAGGATGTTCAGTAATGATAGGTATACAATAATAATAGATATTTAATGATAAGTAATATTTATTATTCTATATTCTGTTGAAAATAGCCGTCTCGAGCATATCAAAATATTTAAAAGATACTTAATTCAATAATTAATTGATTATTTATTTATACTGATGTCTGATATATCAGCAGACTATTATAATTATTATATTAATAATATTCAAAATAAGATTATATATATTTTTTTCACCGATAATGCTAATTAAGCCTAATATTATTATCAATTTGCAACTTTGAATCAAAGATAAATCCAAATATGATATACAGGATGTTTCAGTTCCTAATGGTCCATTTGATTCATGGGCCGATTCCGAACTATCCCCCAGAGTTTGGCAACTTAAAAAAAACTGCTTCCTATAGACTAATGGGTCTATTCTTCAGAGTGTAAAAAAAAATTAATTACACTGTTGAAAACCTGCTATATTTTTTAATGTTTATCGGTTGATTTCATAATTTAATTAATAATGTGTCTCGTCGAAGCGTAAATGTTATGTCTATGTAAACAGCAAAACTTTACATACCGACCTAAGACAAACAACCATTGACCAGCACATAGATAGATAGATAGATAGATGATAGATAGATAAATAGATAGATAGATAGAAAATAACTCTTCTTAAATAACTATTCTGAAATAGTTATTCTATTGAAAATAACTATTCTGGAACACAGTCCTTTGAGAATTACAAAATAGAACAAAATTAAAAGATTACATCTGGCCAAAATAAAATAAATCGAAAAAAAGAAATAATGTAAAGAAAATTTTCTATATACAAAACAAACGAAACTATATACAAAACAATTAACACTGACAAGACACTTAAAGCTATTTACACTGATACACTAGTATACACTTTTAAGTAAACAATAAAGAATTAAAAAATTAAATTATATTAAATTCTTAATATATATATATATTAATATATATATATATATATTAAAGTTACTACCTGTCCTAATTAAAATATATTAAAGCTTTGTGTTTCTGTAGAGAAAACAGAAAGCTGAATCTGACAATGTAAAATGCCTGATTAATATATAAATACATTACCATTTAGCATTGATATTTGACAATGAATGGCATGAAATAAATCGGTTGCGTATCGATTTAATTAAACTTTTCGGTTTACTTCGGTATCAAAGTGTTTACTATGCTTATGGAGCGTAGTTTTTAAAAGTACGATAGATTTTAATGTGGAATCAACAATGATTTTGAGAAATAAATAACTAAAGTTAAATAAAATAATATATTTATGTTGTCGAATGGTTAACAACTGTCTGACTGTTTTTGGGATAGGAATTGGAATAGGAGGGTTTTGAATGTGGATATGGTTGGGCAATGTCGAATTTTGATAGGGAAGGAATTCCAGAAATTGAACATACGTACTTTCTACTCCCGATTTCATCTTAAACTAAACGGAAATCACAATCGACTTATCAACGACATGGCCACGGCTGAAATGCTCATCAGTAGGCGGCTGAAAAGGAGCCGGATGTGAGATCTCCTTTCCTGATTTCAGGATGTAAAGAGACCAGGGAAGAGGTGCTGCTGGGTACTATTCTTCGTCATGCCTATCATGCCATTCCTACCTATCTACCTAACAACAAATCTGCTAATTATCACTACCATGACAGATGCGGACGAAGATCTGCACCAAAAAAAAAAAAAAAAAAAAAATATAAAAAAAAAAAAGGTTATAATGAACATAAAATTCAACAATATTTTACCTTTTTTTTTATTATGACTATTGTTTTACTAAGTAGGAATTCTTCTTGTAGTTTAGTCAGTTATTTAAAGCTTCTATATTCTATGTATTACGAGGTGCTCCACTTAAAATTAAAAAAAGTTAAAAAACACTTTAGAATCGGAGTGACGTCAATTCGTTAATATGTTTTACTTTTGATTTTCACCGAATTGTTAAGATGATTAAAAATTCTGAATAATGTTTGTTTGGTCGATTGAAAAATGCCGTAGGAAATTAGAAACTTGAGGGTTATCTATTTGCAACAATTAAATGACCGATAAAGATAAAAAAGATAAGTGGAAATATATTGTGAAGAACAGAGAAATAATAGGCAGTGACAATGCTGGCGACCGTGCTGTGTGTTGCGGCCTTGGGGCACCTCGTCCTAGGCGAGAACCCCCAGGTCACCACCTCCTATGGTACCATGAAGGGGCAGTTCCTCAAGTCTAGGGATGGCAGGGAATTCTCCTCCTTTACCAGGATACCTTACGCCAAGCCACCTGTCGGAGAACGGAGGTTTCTGGTAAGTATCGTTCAGTTTGTAATGAATCATCAGCTGCTTCGTTCGTAGAAAATCGAGTAAATTAAAAGACACACGCTTCATCGTTAAGTGAAAGACACGCACACAATATATATATATATATATATATATATATATTATAATATATTATATATATATAGAGAGAGAGAGAGAGAGAGAGAGAAATACTTTATTAATTAAAAGTAATGCTGTCCTACTACATAGGGTTGCTTCATACACAGCATACTTATCAATCCATATGGACATTACTATTATATTACATTTTTCTGTTGTTTTTTTTTAATATATATATGACATATTTTTCCTTTCTTTTTTTTGTTTTCTCCCTTTTCATTACAATATTGTTATAAATTACCTACAATCCGTACATATATCCGTACAGTAAGGCTCGAAATCGGTTTTGTACCAAATATAAGCGCCTGTCATGCTCAAATACCATGAAAGGGGTACCGTTGGATTCAGAATTTCACGGGGGGTTAGCGAATCGTATTCTCCACTTTTGTTTCTCTTTCTAAAATAAATAAAGTCGATACAAACATTTTGCTAGGCTTCAATACCTGAACAGTGGTAGGTCTGTAGATCGATACGGGACAAATTGGATCTAGAAGATTTTGATGCGTACAGCAAGACCCGGATAGTTCCCGCGGAACTATCGGATCCTGTGTTTTTAAGCCCAAAAACGTACTATTTTCGAGATAACCCAAGGCATAGGGTGCGCATCCACACAACCTACATTAATAGTAGTACTGTAAAGAAAACAAACTTTATTCGCGAATAACTAAAAAAAATACACACTTTTTCCTTGGGTTATGCCCGTGATTATATAAAATATTACTTAATTCCCTACAAAAGGAAAAAAAAAATCATTGAAATCGGACAATTTTTAACAAAGATACAGCTTACTGAATTTTGTAAACATGTTGGTTCCAAACAAAAATGAAGATTTAAATTAATTTTCGTTTTCTTTGTCGATTGTATTTATCGATAAAGTAGCATTTGATTTCTTTATCTTTTGATACATTGCATTATTTTATTTTCTTATTAATCTGGCATTTCATAACAATATGCTGTGCGAATTTTTCGCACGGGCCTACTGGTAAATAATAAATAAACTATAGACATCGCATAACAAACATTTTCCCAAGATAAAAAAGAAAGAAAATTTAAAAAAGTTTAAATGCCAGGAACTCAATACATCGAACACATTTATACCACAGTAATTCATCCAACGTAGACAAAAAAAAAAATATATATATATAATATTATGAAAGAAAGGAGTTTATATTTGATAAATATAAACCATATCAAAATAAAAAATTAAATGCAGGAACAATTTACAAAAACAGGTTCGGACGAAAACAAAAACTCTCGAAGTGAGATATACAAGTTCTGTAAATCCCATACGTTTTCTCTGCTATTCTCGTAAACTAAAGAAATAGCAAAACTGTAGATCACAGAAGGCATGTTTCTCTATTATTATTTGACTACTCAAATTTGAGAGTGGTAAACAGGAAGGGGTAAAATATTCATTCTTCCTTCAAGTTTTTGACCTTCAAGCTTAATAGTATATCCAGGACTTTTCAAACTTCACTACTTTAGATTATCACTCACTTTTCCCAATGAATAGCGCTTTATTATACATCTATAATAATCTGCAGAGAATAAATGCAAAGTTAACTTTAAACTCAATAATTATTATTTTCAATTAAACCATTTTTGCAATAAATTAATTATTTCTATTATCAGTATTTAAATAAAGCAGTGTTATTATTAGTTATTTCAAATTTAATCATTTTAGTGATTGGTATAGATTATTGTAAAAAGTATTGGGTAATGTGGGAGTGAGGTAGCTCAGTGGTAGGGCGTTAACTTCCGGTTCTCATGATCCCAGGCTAGAGTCCAGCTGATGGCAGATAAATGAATTATAAAATAGGTTCCGTTAATTAAATAATAAATTAAGGATGAAAACCTGGTGGTTGAGCGTGATCTCGGTCAAATCACCTTCTCGCAAAACCGTTTACCAAAGAAACAGTACATCCTAAAAAAGTATTGAACACAAGATCCTTCATGGGTTGAAGTGCTACAGGTTATTTTTATTGGGTCATAGTGTATTCAGTTCTATATTGTTCATATATAATATTAAGGGCTTCCTTGTGAATATAATATTTTCATTTCTTCTTTAAATTATAAATATATTATTTTATTTAACTTTAGTTATTTATTTCTCAAAATCATTGTTGATTTCACATTAAAATCGATTGTATTTTTTATAGTCGCCCCATGAAAATAGTAAAGCACCTTGATACCAAAGTAAACCGAAAAGTTTAATTATATCGATACGCAACCGATTTTCATTAAAATCGATGATATTTTGATAATTTACGCCTTCGGTAACATAATAACAGACATAAATATCGAAGATATATAAAATATTTTTTATAGAGTTATAATATATAAAATATCTTTCTTGTTGGAATGGAGTTTCTCCATTATTTCAAAAAGTACTCAAAGGAATTCTGAGTAAATGTAAATAGAAAGTACTCACGAGGAGACCTGAGCACTTTTTGTACTCTTCGATCATCAAGTGAAATAGTGATTTAAATACGTAAAATACTCTATACTTTGTACTTTTATTCAGAGTACTTTTTGTCCATCTCTAATACATATATATCTAATACTCTGACATTTTATATTGTCAGATTCGTCTTTCCTTTATTAGCATTTCTGCTTAACAGAGCTTATTTTAATGAAGAACTCAATGTATTTTTAACAATTTTTTTTCTCAAAGGTGTATGTATAACCATAATATTCCTACTGTATATAGTTTTAAGTGTCCTGTCATAGTTTTAAGTGTTTTGTATATAGATTCGTTTTTTTTTTAGCTTGTTTAACTAATATTTTCTTTTCTTTTTTGTTTGTTTTTTGTTATTGTTTTATTTAGGCCAGATGTAGTCTTTTAATTCTGTACTATTTTGTTATCCTAAAGAGACCTTGTCCCAGAATAAAGTTATTTTTTATTTCTATATTACTCAATATAGTTTTTAACAATTTTCAATGTGGACGGGTCATAAATATTTTATTTGCCATTATGATTACATACTGCTATGTATTGTAAAGACCGCCGGTGGAATAATTATTTTAAAGGTATAAATAAATATCATAAGTGCTCACATCTGGCGGTACCTGACTGAGGGTAAGGACCTACAAGCCCAACCTTTTGTAAGTGGTAATAAAAACCTTTAAGAACCACCGACCAAGACCGACAACAGAGTGTTTAAACAGGATCCCGAAAAACCTTTTCACACCTTCCACCAGAAATATGGAAATCTGTACCTGCTGCTTTACCTTGGCCTGGGGGAGAGGGCGTGGTCATCCCTTAGGCTGAGAATATTCAGCCAATCAGGAAAAAGACTACCAAAAGAGAGGGGGATGAAGAAAGGTGAGAAATAGAGAATTGGGACTGAACACTTCCTTTTGGGACTCAGAGGAGAGGACTTCTTTTTGGGACTCAGCGGAGGAGACTTCAAGCGGGGGAGTCGATGGAGGAAGACGAAGACAGCCGGAGAGAGCAGATGGACGGACTAGACGCTGAAGGAGAGCAGAGACAGGGAATCCAGATATGACGGCTAGAAACAGCTGCAACCCCCCCTCACTATGAAGGACCAGCTAAGTGGTAACAAGCATTTAGTTATACTAATGTAAACTTGTGTTGGCAACCATAAACCATTAATTAATATAATCAATATAACACATATAACTTTAATCAAACATCAAGCATTCTCCTCCAGTATGATCCTCAACTATTCATTATGTATATAGGTTTAGTTATTATTTTGTATATAGATGTTTTTGGTTTTATTTAAGCTTGTAAATATAATAGTTAGTAAACCAATGTAGTACTTTTACCATCTACCTTGCATGCCACCAGTTAGATATAGAACAAATAGTAAATTTAAAAACATGATACCTTTAGAAAGGAAATCCAATAAAAATTATATGGTTCAATCTAGGATACTACAGTAGAGGGTCTGTGGTATCTAACATTTCAATACAAATATAAGTATTAAATACATTTTAATACAAATAAATGCGGTTCCTGGAACCCCTTACTTGCCGTAGAAACGCGAGGCCAGGGACATAGCAATACCTATATGTGAAAGGATCGCGACTGATTTTAGAATCACTAGCAAGCTACAGTAGTATTCTGAAGGAAGAATGGAATGTATCTTGCTTCGCGGAATAGTGACAAGAGGAGAAGAAGTTTACATTAAGAGGATGCGATAAGCCGGGAGTACATACTTTCTGGGACATAGTCGGAAGGAGGCAGTTGAGATGGTTTGGTTAAGGATTTGGTTAAGAATATTTTGAAGGCAAGCCCACAGGAGATCATCCTCGAGGAAGAAGTAGATCGGGATTGATGTACCATTTCTCCAGGATTTGTCAAAAGAAGGAAACATCTATAAATTCTACGAAAACGTTTTCTTGGAGTTGGGATGCATTGCAGAATTCCATCAGGTCACTTCGACGATGAGGGGTACAACGGAGGGTGATAAAGGATAACCCAAGAGCCGTGGGGGATATTGCTTTACTGATGTTCTTGATTAGGGCAGGAGAAGATGAAGGGGAGTCGTCCCTCTGGCTAAATTTGAACATTTTAAGGAAAAATAGCAGTATGTTTTGAAGTGTTACTCTCATTACTTATAGTCCGTTGTACAGGCCCCTATTTATTGAATTATTAACATCCGCCTGAAACTTCGTAAATAGCTCCATCTCATCGTAACCTTTACAAGTATTTTATTTACGGGAATTTGCCGGTGTCTGTACCACGGACTATTATTTAATTTATGTTATTTTAATACGAACTTTTATGTTAAAAAAAATAAAATAGCGTTACTCGATTCTTTTTTTCATTAACAGTTTTGTCAATAAATTTCAATCAATGTTACCGTCTCATCTGTATGTGATTCGAATTAATTTGTTATTATATAAAATATAACTTGTTATTATATTATTATTGAATTATTTTTAATCATTAATTATATACATTTATACTTTTTTTTTCTTGTAGATTTCAGAGAAAGCAGACAACTGGACTGGGATACTCGACGCAACTTTATCTACTCCATCTTGTTACCAGCCGAATCAATTTCAATCAGACACACCGTTCATGGGACAAGAAGACTGCCTCTTCCTCAATGTCTTCACGCCCAATGTAAGCTTTATTTTATACCATTTCGTTAAATCTTATTTCCGAAAATATTTTGTAATCAAAGTAAAGTAGCCAATAGATCACCGAACTCTCAACTTTATTTTATAATTAGACTTTTTTCTGCTAACTGAAGCAATGCTCTAGTCTTATTTTTAGAAAGAGGGGGATTAAGGTCTTCTGTGGTTGTGACGGTTGCGATAACAAACTACCAAAACATAAAAAAAAATTTAAATCTGGTGCGCGCAACACACAACTTTCACTTACCACTCTACTTTGAATAGAGATTATTTTTTGGCAATGCTGGGCTATTATACGATTTTTTGAAGTTCATTTTAAACGGAGCTAAAGCTTAATTTTACCGTCCCTCGTAACTTTTTTTCCAGCTTCTTTTCGTTGAAATATGTTATATAGATAAATTTAAAGGGTGTCGAGAAAATGACTTTAGCGAAGATTCATTGAAATCGGTACATTTGCTTAGGCGCTACAGTCTATAGCAACGCAGATTTTTCTGCATTTTTATTTTATTTTTTTCTCCTTTATTAACTTATCAAATTCTTTCAAAAGTTATATGTAGCATTTTTTCGGAACTCTGAATAATGCGAAATGATTAACTTTTTAAAATAAACCATATTAACGGTACTTTAGAGGAAGATATATATGAACATTGGGCATTTAAGCTTTTTCAAGTAACATCAAAAGGGATAAGACCTAAATAATTTAAAGACCACTTAATTATACAATGATAAACCGAGTTTAATCAAAATCGTTAGAGCCGTTTTTGAGAAAATATGTAAAAATATGTTTCAGCTTTCCGGTTAGCCGATTTTAACGAAAAAGTTGCTGTCACATCCGGCTCATATACAAACCTTAAATACTTAATACCAGTTTCGTACTACTTTTCGTTTATGAGCTAGACTGTTAACACACACACACAGTCCATTTTGCGACACTTGTTTGTTTTTTACTTCCCAACATACCATAGTAAAAATTATAGGCGCTTTTTTTATTTACATTTGATTGTAGGTATTTTATTTGTTTATTTATCCTTAAATATACAAATTTTTAATTTTTATATCTTTGTAATCTATACAACTAAATATTAAATAATACCAACAATATCATTTATGGAAATTGCATATGTATATGTACATAATATTGTCGGAGTCCGTATTATATTAAGCTCATGTTACTAATGGAAGGCTGTTTCAAGCTTTCGGACGAGCTCGGGCGCGCTCGTATTCCTTCGGTTCTTCCTTAACATACAATTATCAGTTACGATATATTATTTCTCCTTTAATTAATTATCGAATTCTTTCATATTTTATAGTAAACTTTTTTTTGTATCAAAGATTAATGTAAAATTGTTAATTAATGGTAAATTAATGGTTAATTAAAAAAAAATAAATGAACTCTAGAGGAAGCTAATATTGAAAATTAGCCATTTAAGCTCTGTTAGAGAGCATCAATGAGAATAAAACCTACCATATATTAAGAAGTGCTTAATAGTACACTGATAATAAAAATCGCTTAGCCGTTTAGATCGTAAAAATGTGTTAAATCGATGGTATAAAATACCACATCCGGTTTGCCGATTTTGACGAAAATGTTGCTATAACATCCAAGGTTTATAAAGACTTCTAATACACAATTTCAGTTTCGAACTACTTTTCATTTTTGAGCTAGGCTGTTTACATATACACACCATTTTGTGGGGTTTAGATTATTTTCGACTCAGAAACGTGTACATCTGTTGGAAACTCAGATTAGAAAATTTTCACGATCGCAATACTTAGCCTTACTATATATTACATGTATACGTAAGTGAAAGTAAAAATGTACTTTGGTCGTTTCAAAATAATATTGATTGTTCGGTGGCCTATTAAATTATTACTACATAAGTAAGGTACCAAAGTTCGGAATTATTTTCAGGTGACAGGAAAATTGCCAGTTATCTTCAGCATTCATGGAGGTGGCTTCATGACTGGTTCCGTAGCATATTTCAGTAAAGCTAAGTTTTTCATGGACGAGGATGTAGTATTCGTCGCACCTAACTATCGCCTCGGAACTCTGGGTATTAAATCATAAAAAAAAAATGACAATATGATAAAAATATTGGTAATGATATTATTATTTTATATTAATTTTTTTTTTAAGGATTCCTCAGTTTGGAAGACAACGTGATATCGGGAAATATGGGGCTTAAGGATCAAGCCCTCGCTTTGGAATGGGTCTCTAAGGAAATCGCCGCATTTGGCGGGGACCCGAACATGATAACTGTCATCGGTGAGAGTGCTGGGGGAGTTTCTTCAAACATTATCTGCTCAGTTCCGAGAACCAATGGTCAGTGCTTTTATTTATTACTATTGTTCGCCCATTGGTCGAAATTCGACCGCAGCCATTAAAAATTTGAGGAAAACATATAATTAAATAATTAAAGAGTAAATTGCGATTCAAAAATCCTCATTTATTAATACAAACAAAATTTCAATTTAAATCAAAAATCGAGCTTGAACCACTTAAAATTATTTACAAGTGATACACAATAGACTCATTTAAAAATATTTAATTTATGTGTTTTATTGTTACAATAAATTAATGTTATGATTAATCAAGTAAAAAATTAATTTAAATTAGTAATTTCAATTCACTTTAAATCCATTTTTATTCAATACTTCTCTGTAAACAATGTTCTTTTTGAATGTTCTGTTATTGTTTAGTCTATAGCCGTGCCCATGACAAAATTTAAAATAAATCGGTGAAGAACTTTCGGAGATTAGCCGTTTTGAACAAACTACCATTTATATATTTATATAAATACCATTTAATATTTCTATTTATTGATAACACTAAAGCTCGTCAATATCTATTAAACAAAAAATAAGGAAAAAAAATCGGTTGAATAGTAGAGGAGTAAAAGGGGCTGAACCCAACTCTGTTTGCCTATTTATAATTTCGATGATTTTTTTTTTTTATTTTGTAGGGAATTCAGTAAGCTTTCAAATAAATATCAGTATTATCGATAAAAAAATGTGTAATTTTTGAGTTATTCGCAAAAAAAAATACTGAATTCATCATAAAAATTTATGCAGCTTGTTTTCGGGAAAGTATGTCATATACATAAATTATAAATGTTTGAAGAGGAAGACTTTAGCCAAGTTTTATAAAAATCGTTAAAGCCGTATTGGCGTTACAGTCTAAAGCGAATCACGTTTTTCGGCCGCCATTTCGAAAGGAAAGGCCTCATGATAATGAAACGTATACAAAAAACACTTCTCAATATTATTGCGACGTTGTGTCAATATTTAAAAGAAATCGGTGAAGAACTTTCTGAGATTAGCCGTTTTGAACAAACTACCATTTATACATTTATTTACATACTATTTCCTATTTTTATTTATTGATAACACTACAGCTCGCCAATATCTATTAAACAAAAAATAAGGAAACAAATCGGTTGGATAGTAGAGGAGTAAAAGGGGCTGAACCGAATTGTGTTTGCCTACTTATAATTTCGATGATTTATTTTGTAGGGAATTCAGGAAGCTTTCAAATAAATATCAGTATTATCGATAAAAAAATGTGTAATTTTTGAGTTATTCGCAAAAAAAATACTGAATTCATCATAAAAATGTATGCAGCTTGTTTTCGGGAAAGTATGTTATACACATAAATTATAAATGTTTCAAGGGGAATACTTTAGCCAAGTTTCATTAAAATCGTTAAAGCCGTATTGGCGCTACAGTCTAAAGCGAATCACGTTTTTCGGCCGCCATTTCGAAAGGAAAGGCCTCATGATAATGAAACGTATACAAAAAACACTTCTCAATATTATTGCGACGTTGTGTCAAAATTTAAAAGAAATAGGTGAAGAACTTTCGGAGATTAGCCGTTTTGAACAAACTACCATTTATATATTTATTTACATACTATTCAACATTTTTATTTAATTATAACACTAAAGCTCGCCAATATCTATTAAACAAAAAAAGAAGGAAGAAAATCGGTCGAATAGTAGAGGAGTAAAAGGGGCTGAACCGAATTGTGTTTGCCTATTTATATAATGATTATTCCAATATGTCTAAATGTTCCTACACAGAGTTTGATATGCCTCGGCGATATGATATTCTTGTTAGCTGTGATATGACGATATAGTTTCTATTATATTATAACAGTCCCATAGAGCGCCATGATCCTCAACGATACCGATAAAGGGTATCGTTGGGACATATCATCGTGTCGTTGGGACATATCACTTTCAGTGTGTAGAAGCCTTAAGAACGTAATATACCTCGTCGATATAAAATTGTTGTCAGCGGCAGTTTGGCAATATAGCTGTTACTGTCTAGGCACTGCTATAATCCGCAGAGATACAAAGGGATCGCAAACCGTCAGAAAATATTGTGTTCTGAACACATGAGCCTTAAATTTTGAGCAAACATAACTGATTGGTAACTTCATCTTTAATGCCCAAGTCGATTTGCTTTTTATAGGAAACAAAATTATTTCAAGTAGCATACGGTAGTAATTATTCTTGTTTCAGGCCTTATCAAAGGATGTGTTTCCCAAAGCGGCGACGCCTGGTCACCATGGAATTACCAGAAGCCCGGTGTGCCCAAAGAGAGGGCCTTGAGATTGGTGAAGGCAGTAGGCTGTGCAGAAGACAAGGATCGTCTTAAATGCCTTCAAAGTAAACCCATCGAGTTAGTTGGAAACATGGCCTTCTTATCTAATGTAAGTGTGCATATAAATGAATTCTTTTAATCTATGATTATTTTAACTAATTCATGGTTTTATAAACACTATTAAAAAAACTATGAGCTGTTGCCACATGGAGATTAAACTAACAAATACAAAAATATGACATTCAACCACTTAAACTCCCCTAAGAGCACGTATCAATTCATACTTTGGAGTATTCAGAGGTAGTACTTTGCCTCATCAAATCAAAAAATGAAAAGGGGGTCACATTTTTGAATCTTTGAATGGTTATGAATTTTCGAAATGAAAAGTTTCAAACTAAGGGACAAGATGAGCGGACAGCTGCAAGTATAATTTATTTGAACTATGATTGCTAAAATTACATTTTAGCTTGCACTACTATTAAAAAGAGGAGAACAATAAAATATTTTGGGAGAAAGAGAAGGAGAGAAGTTTATGCGCTAGTGACCTTGGGACCTAGTGACCAGGCACCACTGGGAGTATTCATTGAAATAAATTGAAATTGAAAAGCACATGGTTCGGTTTTTTTCCTAGAAATCTCATAACAGCTACAATGACGTACTTATGGTTTTACCAGAAAATTGGCAAAAGGTCATCGATCAAAACCTTATATCATTGATTACTGTTTGAAATTTATATAAATAAATTTGTTTTAAAAGAAGACTTTACTTCTTCCTTAAAGTAATACTTGAAGTTACACTGTACATACAGACGAAAAGAAAAAGTACAAAACTTCTCTCTTTTTTCTAAAATCTAAATTAGCCTAATTTCGAATTCAATTAAGAAATACTATTCACTAGTTATGACTGTAACAGAACATCTTAAAATGTCGACTGTTGATGAGATTGGCGAAAGAAAGAAAATGTCTCAGATTTTATTCAATATTTTGATCATCCAACCTAGTGATGTTTTTTGATCCATGCGATAGCAATTGATGCAATATAGAAGGTTTAGAATCTATTGCAATATAGGAGGTTTAGAATCCATTGAAATAGAGGAGGTTCAGAATCTATTGCAATAGAGAAGGTTCAGAATCTATTGCAATAGAGAAGGTTTAGAATCTATTGCAATAGATAAAGTTTAGAATCTATTGCAATAGAGAAGGTTTAGAATCTATTGCAATAGAGAAGGTTTAGAATCTATTGCAATAGAGAAGGTTTAGAATCTATTGCAATAGAGAAGATCTAGAATCTATTGCAATCGAAAACTAAACTTTTAGTTTGACAAAACGGTACCAAAGTCATATAACTAATATCATTCCCAAAACCTAGAAATCTCATAACTGCTATAGTGACGTACTTATGGTTTTACCAGAAAATTGGCAAAAGGTCATTGATCAATAGCGCACATATATCATTGATTAGTGTTTGAAATTTATATAAATAAATTTGTTTAAAAAAAGAGGTATTTACTTGTTCATTAACGTAATATTTAAAGTAAGGCTGCACATACAGACGAAAAGAAAAAGTAAAAAAACTTCTCTTTTTTTTTTTTTTAATCAGCCTAATTTTGAATTCAATTAAGAAATACTATTCTCTAGTTATGACTCTAACAGAAAACCATAAAATGTCGATTGTTGATGAGATTGCCGAAAGAAAAAAAATGTCTTGAATTTTGTTCAGTATTTTGATCAGAAGGTTAGAGAAGATTCAGAATCTATTGCAATGGAGAAGGTTCAGAATTTATTGCAATAGAGAAGGTTTAAAATCTATTGTAATATAGAAGGTTTAGAATCTATTGACATAGAAAAGGTTCTAGAATCTATTGCAATAGAGAAGATTCAGAATCTATTGCAATGAAGAAGGTTTAGAATTTATTGCAATAGAGAAGGTTCAGAATCTATTGCAATGAAGAAGGTTCAGAATCTATTGCAATGAAGAAGGTTTAGAATTTATTGCAATAGAGAAGGTTCAGAATCTATTGCAATGAAGAAGGTTTAGAATTTATTGCAATAGAGAAGGTTCAGAATCTATTGCAATGAAGAAGGTTTAGAATTTATTGCAATAGAGAAGGTTCAGAATCTATTGCAATGAAGAAGGTTTAGAATTTGTTGCAATAGAGAAGGTTTAGAATATATTGCAATATAGAAGGTTCAGTATCTATTATCATTTCCAATACCTATCATTTTATAATCAAATATATTTTGGTGGTAGAAATAAATCAATGAAATATCAAGTTGTTGTATTTGAAGTAACACTGTACATACAGACGAAAAGAAAAAGTACAAAACTTCTTTTTTTTTTTTTTTTCTTTTTCTAAAACTGCCTAATTTCAAATTCAATTAAGAAATACTACTCACTAGTTATGACTCTAACAGAACATCATAAAATGTCGACTGTTGATGAGATTGCCGAAAGAAAAAAAATGTATTCGATTTTGTTCAGTATTTTGATTATCCAAACTAGTGATGTTTTTTGATCCATGCGATAGCGATTGATGCAATATAGAAGGTTTAGAATCTATTGCAATATAGAAGGTTTAGAATCTATTGAAATAGAGAAGGTTTAGAATCTATTTCAATTAAGAAGGTCAGAATCGAATGCAATGGAGAAGGTTTAGAATCTATTGGAATAGAGAAGGTTCAGTATCTATTATCATTCCCAATACCTATTATTTTATAATCAAATATATTTTGGTGGTAGAAATAAATCAATGAAATACCAAGTTGTTGAAAGACTTTGAATATGGAGCAAAATTATAAGTATGTCTTAATTCATCCAGGATTATTTTAGGGCACAGTTGGTCTGTCTATCGTATCTCCGGTTCTGGAATCTGCGTCAGCTCCAAATGCGTTGCTGACAGCCTGGCCTCCAGCGATGGCGCATAACTATCCCTGGATCGTCGGAGTGTGTCAAGACGACGGACTGCTCTTTACCTATGGTCAGTTAATCAATAGATCAGTTTGTCTTTAAAATGAAACTATCATTTCGTACATAAGAAAAGTGATGATAAAATAATAAAGTTTAGTAGTTATTCATATTTTATATTTGACCTTAAACAGAGCTTCATTCAATTTGGTTCAAATGATTTCATCACAAGCCGAAGAAAAAAAATCTGGTTCACTCATTACAGACTTTCACTTACCACCCACGTCTTAACAGAAATAAGTATTTTCAGATAAAGGGCAAGTGAAATTAAACACTTTTTTTTCTCTCTCTTTCGAGCCTTTACCCTTAAGGGTCATTGGCGTTTTACTATAATTTATATTCTTTTATAATATCCTGTTAACTTTAAATATTAAAATAAATTATTGATTCTTTTCTTCATTATCTTGAAAGATTTCTCTTAATGCTTTGGTTAACCTTATTTTTTCTCTTTAACTTTCAAATTGAGAGACATTCTTCCAGTAAGTGTTTCGCTGTTTGCGAAATGTTATTACTTTTTTTACACGTGGGCACTTCGATTCCTCTCAGAAGGTAGCCATGTGTAAACTGACAGTGTCCTATCCTTAGTCGGCAAAGCATAACCTCTTCTCTTCTTGATCATCTGTAGCTTGTGATCCATTTGTCGCAATTAGGTTTTATTTCCGTCATTTTGCATACTTTCCTTTTATATTCTTTCTCCCATTTTGTTAGTAGTCTTTTTTTTTTTTTTTTGCTTGGTGTAGCCAGTCTTCTAAGATAACTTTCTTTAATCTTATCGCAGCCGTTTCTTCTTCACTTCTTGCTAAATGGGCTGCTTGGTCAGGTTTTTCATATCCCGCAATGCCGCAATGGGCTGGTTCCCAAACGAATACTATTGAAATACCTTTGTTTTTTACTTCCCACCGTACCATAGTAAAAATTATAGGAACTATATTTATTTACATTTTATTGTGGGTATTTTATTTGTTTATTTATCCATAAATATACAAATTTTAATTTTTATATCTTTGTAATCTATACAATTAAATATTAAATAATACCAACAATATCATTTATGAAAACCGTATATGTATACGTACTTAATATTGTCGGAGTCCGTATTATATTAAGCTCATGTTACGTATGGGAGCCTGTTTCAATCGTTCGGACGAGCTCGGGTGCGCTCGTATTCCTTCGGTTGTTCCTTTACATACAATTATCAGTTACGATATATTATTTCTCCTTTAGTTAATTATCGAATTCTTTCATATTTTATATTTCACTATTTTTTGTATCAAAGATTAATGTAAAATGGTTAATTATTTGAAATTAAAAAAAATTAAAGAAACTTTAGAGGAAGCTAATATTGAAAATTAGCCATTTGATCTCTGTTAGAGAACATCAATGAGAATAAAACCTACAATATATTAAGAAGTGCTTAATAATACGCTGATAATCAATATCGTTTAGCAGTTTAGATCGTCAAAATGTGTTGAATCGATGGTATAAAATACCACATCCGGTTTGTCGATTTTGACGAAAATGTTGCTATAACATCCAAGGCTAATAAAAATTTCTAATACACAATTTGAGTTTCGAACTACTTTTCGTTTTTGTGCTAGGCTGTTGACATAAACACACCATTTTGTGGGGTTTGGATTATTTTAGACTCAGAAACGTGTACATCTGTTGAAAACTCAGATTAGAAAATTTTCACGATCGCAATACTTACCTTTCCTATATATTACATACATAATTAAGTTAAAGTAAAAATTACATTCTTTCTGTAATCGATGATATTTATGGTTTTCAGAATTTCAAATTTCTTCAACATCATATAATATTTTTCAACTTTTATCTCCCTATTATCCACACACAATTGTAAATAATATCATCAAAGCTTTTAGTTGTGTATAATGAACTAATGTTTGATATTTTTTGTTTGATATACCTTGATACTCTTTAATTAATGCATCTATTTGTTATCATTTTAGAATACGAGTACAAAATGAAAAGCCAGCAGGAAATAGATCAGTTCATCCAAGATTTCAACAAAACTGCTATAAGAGAACTAAAGCTGGAGAAGCCAACAAACGAAATCCAAAAAATACGGGAAAGATTTTTTACAAACGTTGAACCTTTGAGGGCAATCCGAAACGTAAATTTTTTTTATATCAATCTAAAAAAAGATAATATATTTTGTAATCTAAGATTACTGCTCACATTTTTTTTATTTAAGCTGTAGACGGTTTATATATTTTATCTGTCATGTTACAGTTTTTTTCGGAATACATGTTCGTGTACCCGGCTTTAAAGGGCTTAAATAAACAACCTGGACCAACTTACTTTTATAAATTCAACTACACCGGAGGACCGCAGTTTCCCTTTGTTGCTGACGTTCCAGGTAAATGAAATAAATTTGATATCATAATACTAGACTTAGCAATCATTATTTCAATGAATTATTGCATTATTTCTTTGATTATTATTTTACTTTTTTTTCTGGAATTATTGTGACTAGAGACTGGCAGTAAAAACAGAAAAACGTGCATTAAAAAACTTTAAATTTGCGTGTGGCAAAAACCTAAAATATTTAAAAATGTGTAATCAACACCTAAAAAGTGCAAAAAAAATATCTATTTTGTTTAATTTAAAGTGCTAAAGTGCTCTCGATCAATCTCCGCTGGCTTTAGTACCAGTGACGCGGTTGAGAGATTAGCGTAGGGTTCTCCTGGAGTTCCCTCGCCTAATTGTACATAGGTATGCATGTGTTTTTTTGCTTAGTTTTAATTTTCTTACTTTTTAGGTTATTTTATTTTATTATCTATAGTATATACTTTTGATTATTATTTTTTTTCTATTTATTTTATTTATTTTTTTTTTTGTACATATAGTGTGAATGTCATCCTACCTCACTATAACCAATGTCCAAGAGACATATTGTTGTAATACTCAATAAAGAAATAAAAAAATTATTGTATTAATTAGAGACAATATTTCGATGTTATTGCTCATTTTATTCGGTTTGATCAGATTTAGATGTATTGATACAATAAATTAAACAAAATAATTGATTTATGCACTGTTTTAAGTGTTACTTATACAATTTAAATATTTTTGATTATTTAAACATGATTCACTTAAAGATTTTGATCATTTCGAGCTTTTTACTGAACGGATTTCGGATTTTTAATGCACGAAAATTCGGTCTATAATTATATCCACCCACATATTTTTCATGAGACTAATCATAAATGCTTTCCATAAAACCACATTATAAGATTATATCTGTTAATTTATTATTGAAAACATTTCAAATCACAAATCCTTATTTTTCCGTAATGCAGGCAATGAAAAAACCTCTCTAATGTCTATTGCCGACAAAAGTATGTATTGTTTGGATTTAGTCCAAAAATAACCTAACATTGTCTCACGGATATTTTGTTGCTGATTTATAATTATGATATATATTAATTCATAATACTTGACTTACAATATCTTGTAGTATAATTTGTTATTATAATTCAGAAATAGGAGTTGGACATGCTGCGGAAATGCCTTACTTCTTTGAAGTACCATTGAAGTTTCCATCAGGTTGGCCACACGCTGCAGACACTGCACTGTCCAAGCAGTTAGTCAAGATGTGGGCGAACTTCGCCACAGATCAGTGAGTATAATTTATTTATTTATTATGAAATTATTATATTAATAGAAAGCCAAATAACATAATTTAATGGCATCTCAACCCGTTAGACCTGGAGCCAGGGCCAAAAATCGAACTCATCCCAAGCGAATGTTTTATTGTAAATTACGAAAATGTATTTCGTTTTCTTTTACACTGAGTAAAAAGAAACTTGTGTGCCGTTCAGAGCCGCTGCTTTCAAAAATGACGGCTGATTTGAAGAATATTAGGCCAGTAATTCGAGGGTCGAAACGGGATATCTAGTACGAAAAATGTGAGAAAACTTTTTAATTCTTAAGGTTTAGACATGTAACAAACAAAATTTCTAAGACCGGCCATGAAGGGAAACTTTTTGCAACCAAAAAACTCGGATTTCTTCGACATTTTTTTTTTTTTTATCTATAACTCCTAAACGATGAATCAAAGCAAAAAATCTATTATAAATTAAATAACGTTAAATTTGCGTCGAACGAATACATAAATTTAATTATTTGGTTACTGGTAAGGTACAATACCACGGTCAACCAAAGCTGTTTTTTACCAAATTTGTCAAAAACTGAGACAAATTACTATAAACGGCTCTGTAACTTGGAAACGAGTTCTCTAAGAGGAAAAACTCTTAGAATCAAAGTTATAGAGCATCAAATTTTGCGTCCCGTGACTTTTTAATAGTATTTTTGATTAATTAGCTTTTATGATTTTTTTAATGATCTTTTAGCTTTAGCTCAGTTAAAAATGCAATCCAAAAATTTTATAATAGCACAACATGGCCAGAAAATAATTTCTATTCAAAGATGAGCGGTAAGTAAAAGTTGTGTGTTGCGCGCACCAGATTTTTTTCTGTCCTAATTTGGTGAAACATTGGTAGTTCAGTTTGTTTTTATATGCTTTCTAGACTGATGAGATTTGTCCAATTATGAGCGAACATTTAGAATTATTTATTAAGGCTATTTAATCCGTGGTACAGACCCCCTTTTCATCAAATTATTAACATCCGCCTGAAATTTCGTATATAGCTTCATCTCATCGTAACCTACAACTATTTTATTTACGAAAAACCTCGGAATTGTAGCGGTTTCAATCTGGAGATCGGCAAACTTTATCTATTTAATTAAGTACCGAAAATTCGTAAATAACCATTTGTTTTCCACTTGAATCGTAAGATAACTTTAGCACTAAATCGAGAAAAAAAGAGGGCTTAAAAAATATTGGCGTGATCTGCACTCCCAACATGTCAAAATAACCAGGTTATATAGGCCAAACGGCCAAATAATTTTAAAGGCTACTTTTTTTTTTCGATTTTGTCTTAGGAAAGCAAATGGGTATTCATCTGCTATTAATAAATCGAGAAAAAAGGAAGGCTTAAAAAATATTGGCGTGATCTGCACTCCCAACATGTCAAAATAACCAGGTTATATAGGCCAAACGGCTCGATAATTTTAAAGACTACCTTTTTTTTCGATTTTGCCATCATATTGTCTTATGATTCAAGTGGAAAGCAAATGGGTATTCATCTGCTATTAATACTTAGTTAAATATTTGCCAATCTCCACATTGAAAACGCCCAATTCGAAAAGTTTTCGTAAATCAAATAGTTGTGGGTTACGATGAGATGAAGCTATTCAGGTTACGAATTTTCAGACGGATGATAATAATTTATCATAATAATTAATATTTGGTAAAAAGGATCCTGTATCACGGACTAATTAATCCTGATTTACCATAATGATCATTGGATGGTTAGAATTTGTTGTTACTTTTTATAAACGTATTAATTTAATAAATGTTCCATCAAGTGTGCAGATTTCAAACCTTTCTATATCTTACACTCACTAGTAATGTGTTTTTTTTTATCTTTTTAAACCATTTTTTGTTAAAAATTCAACTCAATTGAATATTGATTGTTATAATGTAAACAATTATTGGGTAATTAATTTGTTTGTTTTTAATTATCTTTTCTTTTCTTTTTTCTTCATATTCAGAAGCAGCACAAAAAAAAAAAATTAAAAGACTAATTCCTTTTATTTACATCACAAACATAGCCAGCCAGTGGAAAGCAGCGCAACACAGAGAACATAAAAATAAAATTCTATTCCTTTAATATTTCCTTTCATGGTGATTATTTTGAGGTCGATCAAATACTACAAAGATATTTTTTCTTATTTTTCAGAAAACCAAGCAGCCAAGGTATGGTACAATGGTCTCAGTTCGACGGAAAATATTTTTTGGATATCCAAAATTCTGGTGTTACATTGAGAGAATTCGCCCAATATCAGGAGATGCTCGATTTCTGGAAAACTATTTTTCCCGACCAGCCTTCTAAATCGTCAACAAGTCAATCATCGTTGTTGTTCATTGCAGCTTTAAGCATATTTGCTGTATACAAAGGACTATTTATTTAAATAAGCGATGTTAATTTTTTGTAAAATTTTAAATAAATAATTCTCTTCCAAAAAAACACAACAAAAAAAGAAGGTTAATTTCCTCTCAATGCTCAAAGCGTATTGTAATCAAATTTATGTTCAATTGAATTTTTTCAAAAACTATTGTAAATTGTTTCCTACTTGTTTGAAACTATAATTTGTTTTTAATTACATTTATTTTAACTTTTTTATAAATATTAATATGTTTATTTAATTATTTTTTATAATCATATTCATAAGATATTCCAATCTTTCTCATGGCTTCAATTTATAACAAGGTAACATTTTCTGGTTGGGAATAGCGATTGAACAGTATTTTAAGTATTTTGTATATATTCAGATGGGACCTGATTTTCCTTGCACAGTGAGCAAGGGATATTTAAGAGGAAATAAAAACACGTACCAAGCATAATTGTTTGGTTATATGGATGGAGGTGCTGAATAATATTTTTTTAGTTTTGTTAAAACTGAATTCAAATGATCTTTATTCACAATAAGATTAGCATATTCATCAACTCGGTTCTGAAACCATTATGTGAATGGAAAGAGGAATTATCAAATCATCAATAAAAATTAGTAATAAAATTACATAAATGCAGACCAAAGACATTTCTCATTAACAGAAAAGAAACCTATCTAAAAATCATAACAATAATACGTTATTCCAAAATTTCTGACTGCACACAATAAAAATGGAGTCAGCAGAAAAACATCAAAACAATATCTAAAACATTTTCATCAGTGTGTATTATCCTAGAGTGATGTGTTGACTGATCGAAAGGAAGCGGATCGCATTTCTAAACTCAACAGGAGAAGAGGTGGAAAGAGTAGTCCCGCTCTGAAATAAATATTCGACCAATAGAAAAGACTAGACAAGAAGTGGGGAAAATTTATATGAAAATATTTTCGGATGAAACAAGGGGTATGTTAAGAAGGTTCTAGGGAGAAAAAATTGAGTGAAGAGATCAGTTGGAGGTGCTAACAAGAATACTTGAAAAATGTTCCTAGAAAAGAAGGAAGAACTGGATCGCTGGAAAGACGGAAAGACGGAGGATGCTATAAGAAATATCTAAATGACGGCAACACTAGTGACCAGAAAGAAGTAGTTCTAGACAGTAGTAGACAATACCATCATGTTACTACAAACAGCAAAGTCATAATAGTCGTTCAAAACCTACTAATATAAATCTATGTAGGCAATGTATGAAATAGTAGAATAATTACTAATCGGCCTCCTCAATGCAATATTCAAATGTATTTATAATACTTAAATCACAAAAAGACCTTTATTAGATTACACCTTTCAAACTTTCAGATCCAATAGTAAATTGGTCACATGGTAATTTTGGAAAGGATCTAATATTAACTATAATCTAACATCTCAATTGAAAACAAACTATTAATATACAAGACCATACCGAAACCCATCTGGGCCAACAGACTTGAAATGTGGGGGACAACTAAATTTTCGAACATCAAACGTATCCAATCTTTCCAGTCTAAAGTCCTCCGTATAATATTCAATGATCCTTATTATGTTACGGACAAAACCTTACATTATGACCGTAACATCCCTTATGTCCTTGACGTTATTCCATCCAGATTTTAAAATTTTCATCAGAACCTAATTTTTTCTATTAAAAAACAAAACAACCTAATACATCATCCTAATCCCTTAGCACAATCCTTATCCAGTCCCTACAATCCTCCTCGAAGATTGCAACGGCAGTGGTCTCGACATCTTTTGTAAATACGTCACTAGAGTCCTGGAAGTGCCCGACTTGGAGCTCCCTCAGCTGACTGTAAATATTCTAAATAAGTATGAATATGTTTTTAATTTTATTTTTTTATTATTTAATGTTGTCTCATGTTTTCTTTTCTTTTATTTTGTTGAAATCTTGTTTTTTCTTTTATTGTATATATGGTATGATTGTGTTTCACACACCCAAAATACTCAATGCCCTTAATTGAGGCAAAATGTATTTTCTTCTCAATAAAAAATATTAACTATAACTCAATCAAGTATATTACAGCAGAAGGGGTCTATGAAATCTAGCCTTTCTTAATCGTAATAAATATATAAGTTGTACATTTATATACAGATCGGTTCCCTTATGTAAGGATAGAATATATATATATATATATATATATATATATATATATATAATAATATATATTATATATATATTGAGGAAATGTATTATGTTCAAAGTATACACAAAGACGGTATACACGTAAAGGCGTACCCATGTTTCCTCTCTATACACCGAGTTGAAGTGGATTTATCCTTCTTCCCCAAGGCAATTCCTTCTTGATGTTTTCCTTCGCCAGGTTCTCAGTACCAAAAACTTTCTCTCCTTACCACCCAGAATTTCTTACTCTAAGCTCTTCTATCCACTCTATTAATACCAGATCTCGACTACAGACCTACATATTCTCTCCCATGAAATAACTTTCAGCAAATCCTTCGCCCTTTGTGCTACCTCCTTCTGGTACACCTCTCCATACGCCAAACCATGTCTACAATTTTTTTTCAAACAGTCTGTTCCACCAGCTACCACGCCACATTCAAACTTCCGCCAGCTTATAAGAATTTTTATACTATGTAAATACAATTGCTCACCAATAGATAAATTATAAGAGACTTTCTATTTTCATATTTTTTTTCTCTCCGTATTTTTTGTATATATCTGTATTACATCGCCATGCCAGACTGAAGTATATATTTTCTGAATGTATATATTATTTTAAAGGGACTTAGTTTAAACAGTGAATAAAATAAATTTTTTATTTCATAAATGTCGATTCTGCAATCTTCTACCCGCCTTAGATTAGGGGAAAACCATAAAAGTCCTTATATATAAGAGAAAAAGTTATTAAAAAAAAATATTTATTGAAAATACTTAACATTTATTAATGCTATTATTTCAAAAATACATTTAATCGTATATACAAAATATTACAACACATTTTAAAAATTATACGTATAATTTATTTGTACGGTGCACTATGGCACGGCGAATCCTTGTTCGTAAGCAGCCCAAGTCCATAGGGAGGTGCAGAACTGGTCCGTAAATAAAAATTTCCTCGAACTCTGTAACATTAGGCATTTTGTCAGTATTACGATTGGATTCAGAAACATGATTGGACAACTGAGAACTTACTTATCGGAGACATCTTCCCCCATAAAGGCGATGTCATCGAAACATTTCTGTTCCAAGTAATGATTCCAACTGAGGCATTTCATAGCCGCGAAACCTTTCTTGTCGTACATCGATTCTATGTAGTATTTGTACGACCTAAGATGTGTGCAAAACCCTGAAATTAAAAACTAAATATTAGAGGAACTAAAAAATAAATTAAGAATGGCCCTTCTTCGAAGATGATAAAATAATTAACATTTAGAACTCTTTGGGTAAATACTACAATGAGCAACAAGTTCTGGGAAGTGAGAATATCTAATATAAACTTCTGAGAAAACAGCATAATTATCTATTTTAGCACAGTTACACAAACTATCCCGAAAAAAATAAGTTAAGATGTTGATGAATCCTTGACAACTATGAAGCTACGAAAATTAAACCAATTGGATAGCGTTGACGTTCAATAAAAATGGCATTTAGTTTAAAATTCTTATTGATTTAGCAAACCATATATTTTAAACTGACAAATATCACTAATTTAACCACAATTAATGCCTAATTTGGGGATTAAAATCATATAGTTTTACTCAATCAAAAACTTAGGTGATTTTATTTTGCAATTTGGTCTCTATTGAACGTCCAAAATGTACTTAACTTTTTATAATCATATATCTTATTATTTTTTTTGGGGGGGGGGGGGAGTTCTCCCCTTCCTCGTCGTTAAGACTATACGGGATTTTCCCGGGTCAGAGGGTGTGGCACCGGGACGCGAACTCATCACAATTTTTTTTTTTTTTTGTCATTTATCATATATCAGGTTGCCGGGCAACGATGGTGCTGAGCACAACGCGTTAGCCCATTCGGCCATTCCGCCTACCAATCATATATCTTAATAAACATATTGTTGCAGATGAGTCAATATTTATGAAGTTGTTAAATGACCATCCATCATAATATACAAAGCCTTCAGTCTTTCCGTTTGACGTCAATTACAATTCAACATTTAACAAAATTAAGCATAATTCTTTTTCTATTTTCAAGGATTTTCTATCAAAAGTGGCGCGAAATCTTAGTTCATCTTACTAGTACTGGTAGTGATAAGGGGAGAGAGAGATGAATGAATCAAGCAAGTGGACCTACTGGTCCTTTTTGCGAACCCCAAACAACAGTAGATATATCAATTAGTTCATCTTGGAAATAAAACGAAGAAACTCAACATCAAATTTTCTCAATACTCTACTGAGTAGTTGCAAATAAAATAATAAAACATAATAATATGTAAAATAATAATATAAATAAATAATAACCATGAATATATAAGGATTCACTGCTAGCTGGTACTGGAGTTGTAAAAAAGGAGATGAAAAATAAATTTTCTATAACTATTTCCAAACTACTTTTTGGATAAACTATGATTCATTTAGTTTTACTTTTTGGAGTACAATAATACTTTTAGAGATCATCTTTTTTGTAAGACTTGGTTATATTTTACCATTTGGGGGAGGCTTCAGCTCGAAAGTCTCTCCCCTCTCCTCACCCCGCCCCACCATAGATCAAACTGTGGGCTGAGCCAGGGGTGCCCAGAAGGTGGTTTCATGGTTTCATATTTTGTCGTTTTTTTTTTGTTTTTTTTTAAAGGGGAGGGGGCAAGTTTCGACGAGTTATGAATTTTCGGACTAAGAAAAGAACATGGACCATACCGCAGCAAGTATGATTGTGTATGATCTATAATTTTTCTAATTCTACCTTAGCTTGCTCTGTTTTTAAGAAGAAGTGAGCAATAAAATATTTTGGGAGGTGGGGAGTAAGTTCTTGCACCATCGACCTCGGGGCGGATGGGCAGCCCTGGACTGAGCTGAGACAAAGAAACTTTATATTGTACAAATAATGATTGTTTAATTTGCTTTTATAATTAAAAGGCCATTAGAGGGTAATTGCTCTCTTTGATCTTCATTGTTCTGATCTTAAGTTTGTTCAGTCCTGATAATGCTTGAACTGCTTAGATACTTAAAGTCATTTGAGAAACTCAAGGTTCTGTTTTGCAATCTTCAAATAATAATCTACTAACAGTATTTATCATTCATTAATTAATAATTATACCTATATCAAATCCACATCCAGGCTGTAAGGGACCTCCTCCGTTTGGATAGAAGTCAGCATGGCCGATGGGAGGGTAGTATCCGACGTATCTGATGCTAGTGTGAATGACATCGACGAAGTCCGCATCGCTGGTATCTAATCGATGAAGTCCGTTCTCGATGAAGAGGGGTCCTGCTGGGTCAAGTCCTGAAACGATTGTTTTATTTCCACAGCGGATTCCAAATTAGTCTTTTGCCAGTTTAAAATCACCAATGGTATATGTTATATTAACCTGTGATCCTTGAAATATTTCCAGACATGTGCTCTCCAGCTAAGCCCGCAATGTGCGCTCCAAGGCTGTGACCGATGATGTGGATGTCTTCAGGGGATACACCGAACTCGAGGACCAGGAAATCCAACATTTTACTAACATATGGACCTTAAATACAGTCAGAAATTTAGGAATTTGCTCACAATATTTTTGGAAGCAATAAGCGAAGTATTTGATGCTTTATGTCGGAAATAGGTAGAGATGGTATCTAACCCTTGAGTCCCTTTAGGGTAAACTAGTTTGTTGATAAATATATAATTATATTATACCTACTGATCGCCATATGGACCATCTCCTTCTCGATTTAAAGCATACTTATTAATTTACAACCTTGAGTCCAATATAAAGCATAAAATACTGTTATTAATATATATCATTTACCGATTGCATGAATAGACCAACGAGCCACTGTGTATAAGTTCAAGGAGTAGGCTGACCAATCTACGGATATTACGTTGAAGTCATGAGTGTCCAAATACGCTGCAAACAAAAAATGCATTTCCATTTAAAAATGTATTTAAAAATATATTTGGTATTATTTCAGCTACTCCAAGATAAAGCCTCGATTCAAAATCACTCTGAGGACGCTGTAGTTAAAACTCCGAAAAAACCCGAATGCACACAAAAGTAAGACATGAACGACCAATCTCCATATTCAGGAGCATAATATTTACATTTCGTTCAATTAAGTCAGCTTAAGGCTTCCTTCTTTACTTTATCTCTTTGATAACATTAACTAATTTATAGAAATGATTATCAGCTGTTCGTTGAAACTTTCACATCTTCAAAAATATCGAAATAAATGTACATGTTTCCAAACAACAACAATCAATATTCCCCGTATTCTTTAGGATTATTAACACTATCGATGAAGTCGTATCATAATCTATAATTATGACGCAATCAAAATCAAATTTGAATTTCAAAGACATTTCTCCACGTTCAAACTCTTATATGGTCATTTTCTATTATTGCCTATAATCAGTAATTTTTTTTAAGTGAAAACTTGTCTAGGCGCGTTTTTCACTTTTTTGTGAGTAGAGTGAATTAGATTGAGCCGATGTGTAACGCTCGGGTAAAGTCGGCTGGAGTCGACTAATTGAAGTGTTTTTGCATATAGATTAAAATATTTCAAAAACTAAAAGTCGCAACTACATACCGTTGGCAAGGGAAATGTTCATCATTTCATCCTCTTTGTGATGAGCTATTGTACAAAGTTGTATCCTAACACGAGACCAATCTTAGAGAGGCGAAAAAGAAAAAATAGTGATGAAAACCAAATAATAATTTTATTATAGAGTTTTATGTAAGATATGGATTAAAAAACATCAGAAACTAAAAATCGGACCTACATACTGTAATCAAGGGAAATATTCAACAATTCATTCCCTTTATAATGAGCTATTATTTATAATTTGTATTTCATATTATTAATCTAGCGTTGTTGATGTTTTCACTTCTATCGTGTGGTCTAAAGCACACACCTTAGTTTTTTTCACAGTAAATCGCTTTTTGTGCTTGCTAAGAAAAATATCCCGTAAGGACAACTCAGTTATTTGTAGATAAACATTATTTTCAATACTCGATTACTTTCGGCATTACTCGGGATTCCATTTAAAGTGTGCTCAGAGTGATCATAAACGCAGTAGCAATCTTGGAGTGTTTTAATCAGATTTAGGATACGAAAAAGCTTCCGAAGATAAAAACAAGTCTTTAATTATATAATTTCATCCCTACAATCCTCCTCGAATGTTGAAGCGGCAGTGGCCCAGAGATATTTTGTAATATATATCTTGGAGTTCTGGCAATGGCCTGATTCTCCACTCAAGGCATGAGTGTATGTGACTAAAACGCTCTCTCTCAAACTCCACTGGCTTTAGCACCAGTGACGCGGTTGAAAGAGTAGCGCAGGGATCTCTTGAAGTTCTGTTTTTCCTTCTATAGTTGGGGGGAGAAGCCTGGCTCGGGGTTACCTGCCTGATTGAATATATTCTACATAGGTATGACGGTGTTTTTTTTTGTTTTTTTAGGAAATTCCATAAACTTTTAAAAAAACATATCTCTATGGTCTATAGCTCTACTAATAGTGCTTTGATTTCGATGACACGTCTTTCATTTTTTAGGCAATTTAAATACCTTTGAAACATCTTATCGACTTATAAAATATTATATCGACAAAAAAGTGTATACTTTTTGAGTTATTCGGAATTTAATTTTATCATCCCTCGTAACTTTTTTTCCAGCTTCTTTTCGTTGAAGTATGTTATATAGATAAATTTAAAGGGTGTCGAGAAAATTACTTTAGCGAAGTTTCATTGAAATCGATACATTCGTTTAGGCGCTGCAGTCTATAGCAACACAGATTTTTCTGCATTTTTATTTATTTTTTTCCTTTATTAACTTATCAAATTCTTTCAAAAGTTATATGTAGCATTTGTTCATAACTCTTAATAATGCGAAATGATTAACTTTTTCAAATAAATCATATTAAAGGTACTTTAGAGGAAGACATATATGAACATTGGGCATTTAAGCCATGTAAAGTGATATCAACGGGGATAAGACCTAAATGATACTAAAGACCACTTAATTATACAAAGATACGCCGAGTTTAATCAAAACCGTTAGACCCGTTTTTGTGAAATTGTGTTTCAGCGTTCATATAAAGTGGCACTTCCGGTTAGCCGATTTTAACAAAAAAGTTGCTGTCACATCCGGCTCATAAATAAACCTTAAATACTTAATGTCAGTTTCGTACTACGTTTCGTTTATGAGCTAGATTGTTAAAACACACACACAGACCATTTTGCGACACTTAGTTATTTGGACTCAGAATACCTAAAAACATTTATTTCCGTTGAAAACTGAGATTTGAAAATTTTCACGATCACAATACTTACCCTTATTGTATATTACATATATACGTAAGTGAAAGTAAAAATAAAATTAAAAAAAAAAGGAATGACTGTGTTTTTATGTTTTTGATTTAGTTATCATTAGGTTATTTTATTTTTTATTGTACATAGTTTTTGATTATTATTTTACTTTTGTTAATTTTATATTTTCTGTATATATGGTATGGATGTGTTCATATATCACTATAATTATTGTCCACGTGACAGATTGTTGTATTCCTAAATAAATAAGAAAAAAAATTATATAATTTCTGGTTTTTGTTTCCGACTTATCTCTCACTTATTCAAGCATCTCAAAAGCGGCTGTTGTTCGAAATATACGCAAATTGATATCAATTTAACTCAGCTGGGTATTGATAATTGCATAACTCGAGTAAGTGAACATGTTGATTGAGCTTTTGATAAGAATCAAAAGTGCGTGACTTGTCGCTTCTTATGTTATGATTATTTTGTAGATCATAAAACTTGTCCAACCACAAGTGGATGATACCTAAAATCAATACGATGTCTCACTGATAATGTTTCAGAAAATTATGATTATAGTGTTATTGTAACTTTAAATAGATGTATATAACTATTAATTTTATAAGAATATCTCATACCGATTATTATTAATCCCATCTGTAATAGATGGGATATTTGGTGCTGCGTGGGTTACTTTTGGACAGCGGGTAAAATTTAGTTTGTGATGATTCCGTGGTGGATAAACTATGTTGCTTCAGTCTGCAAAAACGTGCTTTGCGTAGGCATGTACTGCGCTACTACCTTGATGCAGTTTGAGAACCTAGTTCACTGCACTCGTTGTGCAGATTGGTTTTATTTATTTCGCTTGTGCCGCAAGGGGGTTGCGCTGTCCATGTTGACTGAACCAACACAGTGTATCCACCACGGAATCACCACAAAATAAATTTTACCCGCTGTCCCAAACATAACCACCCAGTACCAAAGTTACCCCATCTTACAGATACATATAAACTTATAATCGCTTTTTTCTTTCAATTAGTTCTTCAGTTATTCTCAAGTGGTCGAATTAATATTTACAACTTTTATAATTTTACATAAATTAAATAATAGTAAATACATACCATTTTTCATTTGCCACGAAAAGAAGTTATTTCCAGCCGTGAGCCAACCATGAATGATAACTTTGGTCTTTTTAGCTGAATCAAAACTTGAGTAAATGACGCTTTGAAAATTTCCAGGCTTCAGTTCTTCGATTACCTCAGTTCTCCTTCACATAAAAGAAATATTTATAATATAAAGATGGTACATTTTTTTTTCCAGTTGGCAGTATCATCTCAAAAATCTCAATTATATAAGTAAACATAAATAACATAAATAAATTAATATTATTATTATTATTCATTCATATATATATTGTACATTTATTATATATATATATATTGTACATTTATATATATATTGTACATTTATATATATATTGTATCATTTATATATATATATTGTATCATTTATATATATATATTATATTTGTAATCAAGAAATTCCTGGGGGGTAGGGAAAAAAATAAAATAAAAATAAAAATATAATTATTATAAATTATTTATATATTTAGATGTACTTATTATAAATTATATTATATATTTTCTATTGTTTTTTTTATTGAATAATATTACAATCTGTCACAACTAAGGACTGTAGTAAATAGCCATACAGGAGTTCATTCAGACAGAATGTACAATAAATAAAAATAAATTAAATAGAACAACAGCAAAATAATAATACTAGAACTGGATATATATAAATAAATAAAAATACTTAAAATATTCAAAATAACAACTTAAATATATTATAAATAAACCAAAAAATTATGATGAATCATTATGTAATAATGTTTTATTTGTCGCAGGTTGATAGCGAGTATATACTTGTAAATTGTTTATCTGAAAGATGAAAAAAAGACTAAGACTTCAGTAAATATTATCAGACCTTATTGAAATTCTGGTTTTATGTAAGAAAAATGATTAATGGAACTAACATTATTTATATAATATTTAAATATTTATATAATATATGATATGGCATAGATGTGAATACCGTTTAAAAAAATAACATTTTGAAGTCCTCTGAGTCCAAATAATAAATTTTCGCAAAATGGTCAAAATCGATTAACCGAAAGTCGACTGTTTAATTATTAACTGATATTTAGGTCTCACCAAATATGAAGTGCTTAGAATATGTCAAGTGACTTTAGAAATTCTTATAAAACGCATAAGACATATTTCACAAACTTGTGTCATTTTATCTACTCTTAGAACAAACACATTATGAATCACGGATTTCTTATCGCCATAACGTATAATCTTTTATGAATCAATATGCCTGTCTGAGAGATTACTAATCCAAATTTTGAGGGTTTATAACAGAGCCCGGATTTTTATGCAGTGTAAACCTCCTATTAATTCAATTAATCTTAAATGAATATTATTTTCTAAAACTTCGTCTTTGTCAACTTCCTACATATTTAAATATCTTAGTTGTGGCCAAATCCCTTTCACCAACTTTAATGAGAAATCTTCACTATTATTGAATTCCGTACACTCACTTTATATGTAATAAATTTATTATTGTCAAATTTTTAAGACCTTTTGTATACATTATATTATGTAACTATCTATTCAAGTATTGTGTAAAGAATTTCTCATGTTTACGTCTTTTGAAAAAAAAAAATCAGATTATTAGATACGCAAGAAACATAATTTAATACGTCATATTTAATTTTACTTTGACTTCCAGCAAAATAAGGAGTTAAATGTCTTAATTTATGGAGATTCGAACATATTTCGAACACGTTTAAACAAATATATATATTATATAAAAACCGTGCCCAAATTTAATTGATAGTTAATTGTAAAGCAGGAGCGTTAACGATTTACAGAAGAATTTACGAACGAGAATGAACCTTTTTCATTAACATAAAAATAAGATATAAACTAAATTAAACAAAATTAAAAAAAAAATCTCTGTTCATCATAAAAAAAGAATGCTATACCAAATCTTCCGTTAGAATCTACAAAATAATATCTAATACTTTGAAGCCATTTAAAAAATAATTAGTTTTTGTATTTGTCAGAAAAATACAGACATAATTTTCGTTTGGAGCATTCAAGTTAGATTACTAACAAGAAAAACGAATGAAAAAAATTATTACTTTAGGTTTTTGTAGAGCTTAATGTTTTTTTATAACTACGAAAAATTCTATCAAATCAAACTTAAACATTTGATTTCGGAGATTAATTTTTCGCGGTTCATGGTAAAATATTGTCAAAATTTGCGACGCTGAGATAATGTTATGATGACTGTATCGTCACATGTATAAACAAATCTCTGTAATGAACAAATTTTGTTATTGTTGTTAACAATAACAGGCTTCAATAACTTTTGTTGAACCAATTTGTCTTGAATAAGATCCTTATCGCAAAGATCATTTTCGCCCAGTACAATGCTAGCAACGAAACGAAAGTTAGCTCCAGCACATATGATAATGTGGTATGATTAAGCACATTTGTATATTTAGTCCCCTAAGATTTCTCATGACTTTTACTTTCTTGGATCAGATACTTATTTCTAGAATATATATATATATATATATATATATATATATATATATATATATATATATATATATATATATAGAGAGAGAGAGAGAGAGAGAGAGAGAGAGAGACAGAGAGAGAGTGAGAGAGAGAAACACTTTATTTTCATATCAAATATAAAGCATTTCTCTTTCTTTACGTTTTAGAGGATATGTAACGTAAATTTTTTATTGTTGGTAATTTTTGTTGTTATTTATTGACAAATAAATAATAATAAAAAAGAAATTAAAGAACATTGAATCTTAAGGGCCGTTTTGAAACAAATTAATCTTCAAGATTTTTTTTAAAATAAAAATGAATGTTGATTGGGGTTCTATATGGATAGAAAAAAATGCGGTATAATTCAGTGGAGGAGAGAGAGTTATTAAAATTGTACTATAAAAAATCGGCTTTTCGTTTATAATAAGGTTCCAATAAAATTAAATTATTATTAATTTTCATTCTAATTTAAAAATTAAACAAAGTTACATTTAAATTTTATATTTTACTCCTTTTGTCACACAAATACAATGAAATAGTTTTTTTAACAATGTCATTGCCTTGATTAGGTGGATTTTAAATATTTTTTACAAACTTTAAAATATTTTTTAAAGTTTACATTTAGTTAGCAAATTCCATTTATTTTCCTTGAAAACATGTGATATGCGTTAAATATTATTATTTATATTTTTTTCACCACTCTTCGTTGCCTTCTACAACTTTTTATATTAGATGTTTTTTTTTTTTCTGAAATTCTCCTCTTTCCAACGATATATTATACGTATGCCTTCTGACTAGTATTTCCAGATTGTATTTTCAATCTGGATAAGTATTTTTTTTTCTCCTTTATTCAATTATCAAAGTATTCCAAAAGTTATATTTAGCATTTTTCTATATCTCCTAACAATGATAAATAGTTATTATTTATAATAAACCAAATGAAAGGTACATTAGAGGAAGATATGATAATGTTGGGATTTCACAAAGAGAAAATTTATCAAATTATTCAATAAATTAATTCTCTAAAAAGTTACATGACAATTTTTCGGAACAAATGTTGATACCTAATTATTTAAATATAATATCAGATGAATAATCACTAAACTACAATAAACGTATTTAAGATTATCAACATATGGTTTATATATTCATGACGGGCCCAGCCCCCACCCAACATTCCTAATCGCATAACCTACTCATCACAACCTCCTGATCCAAACCCACTTCCCAGCCAAACACCATCCGACATCAACACTATCTTATCGTCATTCCTGATAGATCTTCAACAGACTATCAAACCGCTCATAACCCTTCTAACCAGACTCCTTTCCGAAATCCCGCTTAGCTTCCCTCGATGAACACGAAGTCCCTAGCTATTCTCTTATGGAACGCTAATGGACTGCAAAACCGCCGTGACGAACTAGACATATTTCTCCATGACAATTATATTGACATTGCTCTCCTGACAGAAACTCACTTCACCCAACGGACACATTTCTACATACGTGACTACATCACCTATAGATCTGACCACCCAGACAACACTGCCCACGCCGGTTCTTGCATCCTTATCCACAAATCTTTACCCCATTCACTTATTCCTTCTATTCCAACAGATGCCATTCAGTCAACTTCTGTAATCCTCTCAACTCGGCCTTTCCATCTAACACTTTCAGCTGTATACTGTCCTCCTGGCAATTCCCTCTCGTACAGCCTACTTGAATCCTTATTACAATCCCTCGGATCGCGCTTTATTGCTGGAGGAGACTACAATGCTAAACACCAACGATGGGGTTGTCGATCATCCAACTCCCGTGGTAATACCCTTTCACAAGTTTCTTCTTCCAACAATTATTCCATCCTCTCGCCCATGAATCCTACTTATTTTCCAACATCCCTCAAAAAACGTCCCGATATCCTGGACATATTTATCACCTCCCAGATTTCCTCCTCCCAAACTATAATCAAATCCCTGGATGACCTTTCTTCAGACCATAGTCCAGTTCTGCTTTCACTACATTCTGACTTTGCTCCTAAACCATCACTTCCTAAACTGATCACTGGACGAGTAAACTGGGACAAATTTCGTGATGATTTGGAAAACAAACTCGACCTCAAAATCCCGCTAAAGACAAAAGAAGACATTAATTGTGCCATAGAAAAACTGACATCATCAATAACAGACAGTATAAATAATAACACATTTATCAATAAGATTAACTTCCCACAAAATACTAACTTGCCACAGCATATTCGTATCTTATTACAGGAAAAACGCAGAGCAAGATCGAAGTGGCATAGGACTAGATACACAACAGATAAATCGCATTACACCCAACTGACTAACAAACTGAAATCAGAAATAAGAAAATACAAAATTCAAAATTTACTAAATTTTACTGAAAAACTTTCAACCACTGACAAATCATTATGGATGACCACCAAAAAACTTCTTAAGTTTCAAGACTTTAATCACCCACTACTTACTGATTCCCAAACCTGGTCCAAATCCGACGAAGAAAAAGCCCAACTATTTGGTCAACATCTCTTCCAAACTTTTAACCCACATCCCGATATCCTTAATTCGACTCACATCAATTGTATTGAGGCAGAACTGGATATTCCTCTCCAAATGTCTCTGCCACCCAAAGCATTTCATCCCATAGAAATATCCAACATCATTCAAAAATTGCCTTCCCGTAAAGCTCCTGGACATGATCTAATTACATCCCAGATCCTAAAACTTCTTCCTCGAAAAGCCATCCTATTCCTTACTTACATATATAATGCTGTACTCCGTTCTACATATTTTCCTGATCCTTGGAAACGATCTATTGTTAAAATGATCCACAAACCCAAAAAACCACCAGAATACCCATCCTCTTACCGTCCTATCTCTCTTTTACCCATCATGGGCAAGATCCTAGAAAAACTCATCTTAAAACGCCTGTACCCTATCCTAAATTCTAAACACATAATCCCAGATCACCAATTTGGTTTCCGAACTTCCCATTCCACTATACAGCAATGTCATCGTGTGGTAGACGTAGTATCCTCTGCATTGGAGCGCGGAATGTACTGTACGGGAGTCTTTCTCGACGTTGAACAGGCGTTTGATAGAGTTTGGCACCCGGGACTGCTGTACAAACTCCGAAAATTCCTACCACCTACATACTTCCTCATTATCCGTTCTTACCTTACTGATAGATACTTTAAAGTAAATCACAATAACGCCTATTCATCCCTTTTTTCCCAGTCCGCTGGTGTTCCTCAAGGTAGTATCCTAGGTCCTATCCTCTATACAGTTTATACAGCTGACATCCCAACCCATCCCAACACTGTCATCACCACATATGCCGATGACACATGTATCCTATCAGTAAACAATGACCCAGCAATTGCATCCCAAATGCTTCAATCACACATCATAAATCTAGAAGAATGGTGTCAAAACTGGAGAATTAAAATAAACTCCAATAAATCCCACCAAATTACCTTTACCCTTCGTCGTAAACCAACGACTTCCTGTCCTACAGTTTCCTTTAACAATACTCCACTTATCCCTGTTGAGCAAATCCGATACCTAGGACTCCACCTGGACAAACGACTAACTTGGAATCCTCATACTAGACTGAAACGACAAGAAACCGCTCGACGTTTCCGATTACTTCAGCACTTACTAGACAAACGCTCTAAA